CCCCTGAGGTGCTTATAAACTTACATTAAATCACTTCTTGCCCGTTTATAATATAAGCTAGGCACCTGCAGGCGTTCTACGAGTAATCTCTCTGGGTACCTGAGATGCCAGAATGCATGCACCAGTCTGGTGGTTCTCTCGGACATTGTCAATCAACTGACGTCTAGCTAAAAAGTTTACCAATAAAATTTTCTGAACTTGTGGCTTCTTTAACCATAGGAGTGTAAATTCTCAAAGACTCTTCCGGCTTTTTTCATAATAAAAAATAATAATGGTGTCTTTGTATAATTTTTACTTGATTTAATCCGCCCTTCTCTGTAACGATATTTAAGATTCGAACGATAATTTTTTACCCTCACAAAGAATGCCAGAACTCATATGTTATTTTCAGTTACAACAAAATCGAATGGAATTAAGTTTAATATGAACTATATACTCAGCTGAGTTCACCTCCCTTAATCTAACCAAATATAACTAAAGATAAGTGACTGACGTAAACTCTACTTATTAACACTGACAATAGTTTTAGCTTGTTGCTCACTTAAAGAAATGCTACAGATATAATGAGTAAATCAGTTATTCTACCAAACTACCAATAGCCAGAATTTTTTTTTTTTGTGTATCTGTGTGTGTGTGTGGGACCGGGGAGTACAACTTTTTAACTGATGAGAAAATGCTAACTTCAAGTCTTCTCTTTTGGTGTGGCCGGAAACTTAAGTCCAACTCTCGTAATTTGTGTTGCTACCGTTTACTAACTTTACCTGCTGAAGTTAGTTTACAGTGTCAGAAGGCTACTTCTGAATAACAAATCAGCTTACACCTAATAATGATAATACGTTATGAACAATATTAAACGTACCTCAAATTACTAGAGTTCTAAGCAAGGTCTTATTTAGAACAGCTGAAAACCTTACAAGTAGAAACCTAGAATTATTAATTAATGATTACTGCTGAGAACATTTATGAATATAAGTTCTTCATGATTCTTGTCCACAGAAACACCAGAACCAAATAATAAGGGCAGAATGAAAACACCAAAATATTTTCTTAGTCTTCTCCCTGGTATCATTCACTCCGTTTTTTTTTTTGTATGTGTGTATTCATCCATTTACTTGTTGGCAGAAGCAAAACTTCTTCTGGCTACTCAGTTGAGGGTCACAAGCTAAATATACAGCAACAGTAAGGGGAAGCACTGAAATGTTTAGCTAGAGCCTCTGGGTGATTCAATTAGTTTGGAACCCAGGTCATTCAGAGCCCTAGGTACAATCGTCCCAACACTGTAATGTCTTTGACCCTAATAGGACGATATGATATTCATGGGTGAAATACCTATGAATTAGTTCCTTCAGGGTTTCCATAAAAATTCCTAACTCCCCTACTTCCATATTACTGGGGGAAGAGAGAGGTAAATGCAAGAATTAATGCAGACGAATATTCCCCATATATAGTCTGTCATCCTTCCGTGGCAGTACATAGTAAGAAAAAAGTTATGGACGAGGATTTTTGAGTGTCCCTATAATAGCAAACTCTTTTAAGGGTATATGATTACCTAAAAGCTCTTGCAGATACAAAGGGTATAGTATCATTCTCAAAACCCTTACTTTACAAAAGGGTATATAAACATCTTCCCAAACCCTTAGCAAGCTTTTTCAAGACCTTTACCCGACAAAAGGGTACACTAGTACATATAAAATACTTAAATTGTAGAAGGTTAAATCAGCATTTACAAAAACATTACTCTACAAGAGGGTTCGTCAACATTTTTTTAATCTTTACCATTAAAAAATGGTTTATTAAAGGGACCATAAAAAATCATGATTATAATTTATTGTAGACCTGCACACATTGTATTGATAATCACATTATCCTAGTATTCAATTATATTTTATTGGTCCATATTCAAACTTTTTACATAGGCAAAAGTGAATTTGAGTCTTGGACAAAAAAAAAAAATGAAAAAAAAAATATACTGAAAACAGACTTAAAGATAAAGAGTACACCGACAGATTATAAACATAAAAAAGTGGAGATTCGAGGTGAAGAGAAGCCCTATGAAAATAACTCGGCACTGGTCTTCCTCACTTGAGTTTGTACGCCGCTGATCCCCTCCATCATCCATTGACACACATCCTTTTTTACTTTCTTATATAATTTTAGCCACTTATCAGCCGTACCATCCAGTGTTAGTACAGGAGGAACCAGTGAAGCTTGTGATGTTTGGTTGGGTCACACTGGATAACACCTTTTTCACATGTGTCTGGGCCGAGGCTCGAACACTTGACAAATATGTGAGAGTTATGCAAGTTACCGCTGTACCACAGAAACAGACCTGACACTTCCTTCAGTTATATCGTGGATGCTGTATAAAGCAATACCGCAAACACTATAGGTGGCATCACCATACACAACCGATACTGAAATTCTATCTAGGCACTTGCCAAACCCCTTGGGTCTAAAACACCCACAGAGTACCCACGGCTGAGAGCACGGAGGTCTGCCAATTAATTATTGCCATAGAGGCACTTCAATTAAGTGCTGATATGGGTGGCAAGGCGAAGTGGTATCCTAACATGGAGGAGGATTTGTGGATTGGTAAAAGGATCTAAGGAAGAGTTGGAGAAGGTCAAAGGAGTCCACAGCACAAGGAGAACTCACCACTTGAAAGTGGCCCCTTTAATGAAATATGTCATCTGCGATCATCCAATGTTTTCAGCAATAAGCTTATCCCATTATGTTTGCTTAGGTTTTTAAGGGATCGATAGTTAAGCTGTCTGGAATGTAACGGGCTTACGGGCCACACTGGGCAGCTGCCTTAATACAAATTTTATTTGCGATTCCTGCATCTAGTTTGAAACATTCTGCAGGATCTTCATTAACAGTTTGTTGGACGCTACACAGGAAGACAGGAATGCTAACAATGCGATTTGGGAGTTCCTTGCAGATGTCAATTCTTTCAAGACGGACCACAAATTTTTTTTTATCCTCATTTAGAGTCTTTCAGAGGGAACCACACATTTTTTAAACGTGGATCTTAGTTAATCGTGACGGAATGTAGCTCAGGAAGCTCGATGGCCAAGTAACAAAAAGGCAATCAAGACAAAAGATCAGGTGGTATAAAAAAAGAAAGAAATATATATACATATATTGTATACAGTCAACCCTCGCTTTACGCGGTCCCACATTCAGCGTTTCCACGTTTATGCGGTACCCTGCCGAAACCGGAATGCTCACATTCCGCGGTGCGTGTACCCCTTTACGTGGAGTGTGCCTGGCTCGACGCTATTTTTAGATTCGCCCCTCACGCCTGCTCCCGCCTGGGCAAGCCGCGCGGTAAGGTTGCACAGTGCATGTCTCTGTTGCGTTATCAGTGACTTCATATGACGTATCGGACTGTGATTGGCCATGCATCCCTACCTCCCTCCGCTGCTAGCTGTAATTGGTTTAAAGTAATATGACGTGTCCACCCGGGGGAGGGAGGGAGGGAGGAAAGACGACGCTTGACCTAGCCGCGGCAGTTTCATCCCTCCAGGCCACACTGTGTAATTGTGCATCCATTGTTCTGTAAAATGGCTTCCGCCGGACCACCGCCCCCAGAGAGAAACCTTTCCTTACCTGGACCCAGCCGCCCTAAGCCAAAAAAGACACGACGTTCCTTAAGCTACGAGGTGAAGTACAAGATCATCCAAGAGTTGGAGAAAGGAACAAGACAGGTTGATTTGGCGCGCCAGGATGGTGTGAACGAATCTACGATCCGGACGATAAAGAAGGATGCAGCCAAGATAAAGGAGCACATGAACACCACAAAGTCTACAGGTGCTTCTCAAGACGGAAAAATTACTTGAGCTACTTGGTGCGTCAGGCGCGACAGAACATGGCGGTGGACACGCGCTCTGTTAAGGAGTACGCACGTGAACTGTATGCTGCAGTATCACGAAAGATGGGAATTACAGAGCCCAAACTCTTTAATGCTTCCTCTGGGTGGTTACAGAGGTTTAAGAAGAGGAACAAGATCACCAATATCAACATTGGTGGTGAAGAAGCTAGTGCTGACCGTGTTGCGGCTAGGGAATTTCCTCCGTTTTTACGTGAGATTATGGAGGACGACCAGGTGTTTAACATGGACGAATCTGGTCTTTTTTGGAAAAAGCTACCTTCCAAGACCTTCGTTGTGAAGAATGCCAGCAAGATTCGGGGCCGGAAGTTGCAGAAGGAGCGCATCACTGTCCTGTTTACCACCAATGCCTCCGGTACCTGTAAGCTCAAGTTATCGGTGATCCACACAGCACGCAAGCCGCACGCCTACAAGAGCATGGACATGACCAAGCTAAATGTCCACTGACTGACCGCACGTAAGGCGTGGATGTTCTCTACACTGTCCCTCTCCTGGTTTGATGACTGTTTCGTTCCCGATGTGAAGAAATTCTGTGAGCAACAGAATGTGCCATTCAAGATTTTGTTGCTGCTGGACAACGCACCAGGACACTCGCCCCTACTGTTAGATCGTCACCCCAACGTATGTAATTTTGAGTCCTACTCTTTTCATTTACAGAGTACTGTACAAGCCCATAATGATGGCTCCATAAGTAGATAAACTTCGTTGTGTAAAGAGAAACAAGAACACGTTGAAACTGAGTGACAAACTTGAAATAATTAAGAAACTAGAACGTGGTGTGAGCAATACTGTTCTAATGGAAACATACGACATTGGAAAGTCTACAAATTATGATATAAAAAAAGGCAAAGAATAAAATTCTAGAATTCACAGCTTTTTCCTTAAAACTGCTCATTTTGATAAATGAAGCATGCTATATTTGCTAATGAATAAACTATCAAAATGTACCTGTTCATCTCTTCTTTATTCCTCCTTAAATTTGAATTTTAAAAGTACTGCCTGAGAATCCGGAAAATCCGAAAATCCGGACCAACCCAATCCCCAAGCAGTCCGGATTTTTGGACTTCAACTGTAAATGACTTGGGTTACAGGATAAAAAAAAAAATAGTTCGTCAGTTATGAAAATTTTAATTTACTTTATTCTTAAGTTTATCTTATGAGCTAGTGCAGTATAGGTATCATAGATGCATATAATGCCAAGTTCTCACACTGTAAAAGTTGAATGGAGACTGGAGGATCATTCAGCTGTAAAGCGTGCTTCAAATTTGCTAGATGGCAACCAGGACACCGTAAGGTAATCATGGCTAAGCCACAAAAGCACGGATAATGGCCATAAAAGAGTGATGATGATGATTTTCTAAGGTACCTATCACTTCTTAAGGATTTTCATATAATGATCTTCATGAATGACCACAAACCATAAATTAATAATTGTTTTATGGAAAATCCTATAAGTTTAACAACTCAACAATAAGGCTGGTCAGACCATTGAAATTATACAATTCTTTTATTTAGACGTAGCCATTAAAAGGAGAATCCTACAAACACAAATCTTGGATGTGACATCAGGCATAGCTACTGAGCTACTGCCTGATACTCCACACATCTGGAAGGATCTGTAGGAAAGTACTGTTGACATTTTGTCATAAGGCGCTTTAAACCCTGGATGTACTTACGCTGTGTCTCATCATTCAGGACATGGGCCACATGCTTACTGAAAATCTTTTCACGTCCAGTACGTGCATGGATACCAACCATGGTGACACCAATAGGCCAAGGAGCATTTCCAATAGCCATCTGTAAATAAGCATCATTGGCTTTGACATAATCTCTTACTAAACAGTGTTGAACAATTTCTACCAGACACTCCATGATGTCGTCTGGTAAGGAGCGTTTCTTGAGACATTTGATGAGTGGCTTAAGGTATGCCTGTGTCTGTGTGTAAGTAGCCGAGTCCATCTTTCCTCGGACGCTCGTTTTCTCACCTTCAGGCCTTGCATTGTGTTTACTGCCCCATAGCTGAAGTATAAGTTGTACAAACTTAAATATCACTTTACAGCTTAATTCATTTGTAACATTGCCTTTATTGAGGTCTTTTGCCATTTCAATTACACTTTCCATGGTGATGGTTTCACCACAAAGGGCCACATTACGAGCCCCTTCACCATCTTCTGTCTTTAAAATTTCATTTAGGTATGCCTGATCAACACGCTCAAGAGCCTCCTGAAAATCATTTCTTAGACCTCTGTTAACTTCAGGCTCTAATATCTCTAGTCTTCTCAGTCTGCGGAAAGCATCATGTTCAGTCTCACCAAAGACCAAAATAGGCTCTTCTCGTTCCCGTAGACGGCGAATAACTTCCACACGTGGTAACTCAGGAGCATCACCAACATCTTCATTCACTGAATCTTGAGATACTGAAGAATCACCTCCATTAGCAGACAATCCGCCTTGTCCACTGCTACCGTCACCTAACCTAACTCCACACTTGTGCCAGTAAGCTTCTGCCTGGAGTGCACTCAAGTCACCTCTCTTAAAGTACTTCTTTCCCTCCAAAACATTGGTTTCTGCAAGCGACCGCTTCTTAGCTTCAATTTCTTTCTTCAATAAGCTCAACATGATGCTCTGGAAAGAAAAATACTGCACTGTAAAAAATTTCACAATTACCATGGATACAAAAATAAATTAAGTATAATTCATCATCAACATTTTACGGTAATTTTCCACACTTAAGTGGGTTAGCCACAGTTACCTGATAGCAGCTCTCCATGCTGCACAGAGTTTTGCAGTCTCTCGTTAATTTCTTAACTCTAATGTCATTTATTACAATTTCTCCTTATAGGGATGGGTTACTGGTGGCTGTAATTGAGGACAACCACAAGTACTGAAGAGAGAGACAAGTACAAGTCGAAGTTCAAATATAGCTTTGTCTAATTGCACTATATCCAATTACAAGTACATTATGATTTACTTAAGTCCAAGTCCAAGTATTTTATAGATAACAACTGAAATTTAATAGAAGTTGCCAGGGATATCTGTGAAATAATTTCAGTCATAATTTTTTTCCAATGTATTTTGTGGGGAAATGTACAGGAAATGTTCAATAAATACACACTGTTATATAACTTCATTAGCTGTTAATAAGCCCATTTCACTGGTTGCTCAATATATACTGTACCATAATAATAATAATATACAAGTTTCCAAATATAAAGAAAACTTTCCACTGGTTGCTTGATACTGTTTAAGTAAACAAGGTGCTAAAAATAAACATACAGTACTGTACCGTACATGCTTGATTTTGGGTACTGTATATTTTAACTATTAGGCATTCACAAAATGAGTAACAATGTGAGAAATTAAGTTAAATATGGTAAAAACTTCCTGGGTAGGTGATTCCCCGGACCCCCCCCCCCACCCCGTCTTCAAGACTCAAGACCCAATCACATTCCTAATGCATGGGGTAGGTGCAAAATAATCCACCAGATGGAAGTTAGTAGTATTATAGGCCCACAGACATATCAGCTATTCCCCTCTTCTTTCATCATGTGAGTAATACGAAATATAATATTGCTATGAATCATTATGATAACCATGTTAATTATATATTTGGTAGGTGCATTAGCTTATAAGGTAATTGAAAAGGTAACAAATTATGATTTGGAATCTGTAGTGATGAATTTGTGGTTATTTACACTCTTTAATTATAAGTTGTGTCCCTGAGCGATAACTGTACAGTACAGTACAGTACAGTTCAGTACAGTACAGTACAGTACAGTACAGTACAGTACAGTACAGTGTATATGTATTTAACACTTTGGTGAGTATTCACCAGTAATATTGTAGTTAAAGTAAAATATAATGAAAACAATATCGCGGTAAGTACAGTAAAACAAACACACACACACACACCAATGACACCAGATGTAAGTCAGAGACAAGAAGCCATCAGCACTGAGGTTCAGAAATACCCGAGTCAACCCTGCAATTCAGAGGAGAGTGATGCATTGTCATATTGTAAATGCTATATCAGGGAAGGATCCAGGGGGGTCCAGAATGATGCATTATTTCATCTCTCAAAGTCGGAAAAAAATCCCTCATCCCCAGAATTTTCCGGAAATTTCTGAGTAAAAGAAAAATATTCTCTAAAGTTCCAGAAATTGCACATTACATTATCTCTCGAATCCAGAAAAATATACTCCATCCCCGGAGTTTTCTGGGTACAAATTTTCTCTGAATTTCCGGAAAATGCCCCTGACTTTCATCTTTCAAACACAGAATAAAAATCCCCACCCCTGGAATTTTCCGGGAACCGGAATTTTTTTTAAAGAATTTTCCGGGAAAATTTCAATTCCGGCTGTTGGAGAGTTCCGGGTTTGAGTGAATCCGGCCAACGGAGATAGTACAGTACTGTATTTTTGCATGATCAGGCTCTTATGGTGTATGATTCACCATAGTTAATATAACAACCATAATAATAGAAAAAAAATAAATTTACTGTACAATTTGAATTTAAAATAAAAGGATTAACTGTATCAGAAGGTTCAGGATGCATTCCTTGAGACAGCTTTCAGCAAATCAGCTTACAATGGGGCCATTCCTTCATAACAATATTATTTATTACCTTTGAGTGATGCACGATGGCTTGATTTGGCCACTTAGACAACTGATTAATAAATCAAACAGAGAATAAGCAGAGGCATACAGTAATACTGTACACAACTGTACAATATTATTTATTAAGTGCTGATAAATACACTACAATATTATTTACTAAGTGTTGATAAATACTGTACACTAAAATATTATTTACTAGGAGCTGATAAAATATATTACTGTACTATTTTATTTACGAAGTGCTAAAAACAGATGTTAAGGTAGACAGGAGAGATGGAGCATGTTGGCAAAATGATGAGGGACAGCTAGGGTGTTCAGAATATTCACAATGCCTCATTTGGGGTTGAGTGTGGGATTATTTCTTCAGGAAAATATATTATTTTACGATAATATTTTATCAACCCGGTACCAAATGAACCTAAATAATACTGTATGGGAATTATGGTGAACTGCACAATGACATGTTAAAGGGGTCCTGGGGGAGGGAACCACCACCCACGCTATCTCCTGCTCCCGGATACATTATCATCTCCCACACACAATATACCACCACACTTTAATTTGTTCTTATTTTGTCTTCATAGTAGTACTGTATACATGGAAATAACTTTCTACAAATTTTGTGGTTACTTTTGGTACAAATAACATTTTCCAGTTCGAAACAATCATATTACTGAAAACATTTGTTGACAACCAGACTTATGTTCAAACCCAGCCCCCATAAATTTTTTTTTTTTTTTTTACTTTTCATTTTTCTGGACTGGGGTCTGCCCCAATTAGTTTGGTGTAACAAAGTACTGTATTACTGTAGTTTGGTACATGAAAGAGAGAGAATACTACTACTAATAATAATAATCTGCTGCCCCCAACTCACGTAGCATCCTACAGATTCAGCATATGACTGACTTGATTCCTGACGCCGTAGTCAGCTCACGTCAACAAACCTGCAATAATGAATCAAACATTAAAGATTCTATAGTACACCGAATGAATAAAACAAAGACTATTTGCATGATCCTGAACACCGCATAAACCAAAAATTAGTTTTATGAGTTCTTACATAAATGAAATTGTTTTTTCAGGGTTTCTACCACTTTACACAATGTTTTTATTCACTTACCAGTACATAATCACATTACACATAACATTTTTCTCTTTCTCACTTCACTAGCACCAATTTAACACAACCCTTACCATCAGATGGCATACCCTGTATGTCTTAGAACACTAAGCAAAGTACCAAAAGACATACCTGGTACATCCTTGTGAAAAACCCCGATATCTGTGTCATTGGTGGAACATAACAACACTGACATCCCACCCATCATATTACCACTGATATATATATTTTTCACGTGTTGGGGCGAGTACTGAAGAGGTGTGTGAGTGACATACTGTACAGTATAGTGATAATAATGTGAATAATAATTTATTTGTGTGTAAATGAGTGTGTATTCACTTGCCACTAATAGGAGGGAAATTATTTCATGAAAATAGGAAACTTTGGTTAGCTAACAATAAGTTTTCTCTAATTTCATCCAAGAAATTATGCTGTTTGAAAAGGGAAAAAAATGCTCATATAGTACAGGTGAGCGATTGTATATCGATATAAATAACTTAGGGGGAAATATAGGTACCGTTCCTGAGAACCTGAAGAGCCAGGGTTAACATTCAGAGTGGTTACTTTTCAACTCATAATTTTTAGTAGATACAGTGAGTTCTGCTATAACGCGTGTTTTGACGATGCGAATTGGCTCTTACGCGATTTATGAATAGAAGAACGATATTTGTAAAACGCAAACACTCGTTTGCTGTAACGCGATTTTTGCTTACTATTTCTCCAATTTTGTGGTATTAACTGTGAATATGGTAAAGAAGAATATCTCCAAGAAGCGTTAGGTGATCACATTCCCGGTGATGATCGTAAAAGAAAGGCTATAACACTTGAAGAGAAGCTCGACGTTATCAACCTCAAAATCACCCTTCTCCCCCATCAAGTTATGTATTCATATTTTTTCAAGGTAAAGTGTTACATTTACTGTATGATTTCATTATTAGATATGAATATAACATTTATTTAGACTGTGCTACCCTTTGTGTTAGGCTAACTACTAATTTTTTTTCGATTTCGAGTAATCTGCACCTAACCCTATTTTCTCCATAAGCCCTGTTATTTCTAATACGCGAATTTCTATAACACGATGTTTTACAAGAACACAACTATTGCTTTATAGCAGAACTGACTGTATACATAATTTAATTACTTCTCATCTTTTAAACTGTGTTACATGCACACACAATCTTTCTTTCCTACAGAATGTGCAATATACAGTATTACCCCGTGTAGCTTTACACAGTTTCACTTTGGTTTCACTTTTCGCGATTTCTCATTTACATTTACGTGGTATCTTGCCAGAACCGGACTTTCACTTTCCCTTTCCGCGGTGCATCTACTCATATACGCAGTGAAGTATAATTTTTTTTTTTTATCTAGCTCATAAAATTCATACAAATTACCCAGCCAGAATATAATTTACATTGCTGGAATTCTTACAATATGATGATCATTTTGAATATAAACATCATGGATTTTGCATTAGACATACAAATTTTAGATCTAATGTAATAATTTGGTTTACACAAAGCAAATATTTTATCTTTTGTGCAAAATATATGAAGTTTACATTCAAAATATTCCCTGACCTGCAAGGAATCCAGAAATGTCAATTATATTATCCTAACTTTAGTCTGAGGTATTATTTATTACTAAATGTTAAAATCTAGTGTTTTCACCCAATCATTTCTCAGAGAGGTAGGAGCTAGTGAGCTGGGAAGGGGGGTTGATATTAAGATTTTTAATCGACTCTGGTTAAATAAGCCGTTTCAATATCAATAACGTTATTTTACAATGAGTGCGCTCTGACAGGCTAAGTACTTTCTGTTTAATGTGACGGGGGGGTCTGCCCCCCTGGTTAGAATATTAGTTAAGTTTAAGTAAATTTCTTTGGCTGGTTTGGCCAGGTACTATTAGGTTCTAGTAAATGCCGCCTCTTTTATAATGATAAGAACATGTGGAAAAATTAACAAAATCGAACAACTCCTGGTGGTAGTGGTGCTCTCAGACATTAAAGTATTTTTAATCTTTTTACAAGTTAGGTAAGGTTTCAAAGGCTTGTTTGGTGTTCTTTTTAGTATTTTACCCCACTTTTTCCTCTACTGCCCCTTTGAACAACCAATATTGTTGGTAATTAGGAAGTCATACCGGTTAAAATACTAGAAAAGACGTTTTTTTCTAAAAATCAGTTTTTGTGATATGACCCAGAATGCGACCTAGGTATGTTAATGCCTAGCAATAACTCGCCAGGCCAACATACAGGCAATTAAAACATCTAATAATTACTTAATAAGTAATATTACGACACGTCGCGGTCAAATATATTTCTTGCATTATTTGTCGGTAATGGACGATTAGCCAATCAGAGAGCACTCATGATAAAAAAGCGTAAGCAAGAACTTAGCCGGTCACGGCAAAATATCCACTGTTATGTTAATTTGCACCAGAAATGGCACAGAAGAAAACATGATTCAGATGGATGATTTCCACCAAGAGCAACTATTATTTTTTTTATAGCTTTTGAGAGTGCACTTATAAAATAAAATTGCCCTTTCTATGGTAGTTATTAAAGCGACACCCCTCACACATGAATTCTCTGTCAGGTTCACAAATTAGTTCATGGCCATTAATATTGTATTCACTTTCATCCATAGGCTTATCTTGGTTTTTATACAATAGGGTATTATTTTAGTTTCGGTCATCTGGAGAATCTAAAGAATATAACTCCCATCAGAAACGGGAGATCTGAGGGGGAAAAGCCATCCTCCCTGGTTGGGTTAGGTTTGATATAGTTCCTGGGTTCTGTGGCTGGGTTAGGTTTACATTAGGTTAGGTTATGTTGTTTAAGTTGGATATCTAAATACAAGGATGACCGAATCTTAAATTGTACATACAAGAGTTCCGCAACACCTACATAGCTCTTAACCTGGATATGATGGGCGTTTGTGGCCCCTCAATTGTTAAATATGACTTATATACTATTACTGTACTTGAAGCACACATTTCACAGCCCTTACCGTGAAATGTGAAAAAAATCCTGGAGACAACAGGTGAGGTAGACTGGTAGTTGTTGTTACTTCATACTGCGTCTCTCTCAAGTATACTCAGATCAGTGTTGCCAGGTTTGTTTTTCTAGAAGAGGCCAAACAGTTTTACAGCGTTGCCAAATATAAGGCCAAACACCTATTTTACCAAATACTATATAATTAATTTTGGGAAGTTTATATTTTTAAAGTATCTTAAGCAAAAATACATTAAAATATTGAGACGCTATTTATTGTTAGGTTTTAAGACGTCTTCGGCAAGTAAAAGAAGTTTTAGAAATCCTCCAGAGTGAGCTCTTGATCAACACCAAAGGCTTTAATCTTATTATAGTCTTTGATCAACACTGGCACAGGTAGATAGTAGATACATCATACATTCTGGAGATAAGTACCCATAGGGCAGGCAGGACTTACCAAGTGTGTAACAGAGATTTAAACGACCGCCCGAGCGGCTAACGGGCTGATCAGTGGCGAAGAGGATAAAAGGATCAATTTATAGTATAGGGCATAATTCTATTTTTGTTGTTTATAATTATAATTTTAGAAAAAACAAGACAATTTTCATCTATGACACTTTTGGCGCATTTTACTCATAACCGGGATATTTGGAGTTGAAAATCAGAACTACTAGAAACATTTTGGTATTGCATTTGTTGCCACTAACCGAATCCCGTGAATTTTTCTTTGCAAACAATAGTTAAGATAATTGTAAGACACTTTTATTTAATCACGTTTCTCTTGCAAATGACTTAGAACGGAGATATTTAATATGCTGGGGAGTCCAGGGCGGTCCGACTAATTACCCAAATGTACCCAAATGTAGCCAAAGGTAGCTGCAATGAAGTCAAATAATGGTCCTACATAAATAAATCGGGCTGTGAATCACTTCTCGATTATTATTTGGTGTCATAAAGTCACAAAAAATGGTAAACTTAATTTAATCTGAGTTGTGTTAGGTTAGGTTAGGTTAGGTTAGATTGGGTTAAGTTAGGTAGATGCACTTGATCTATTAACTCAGATTAAATTAAGTTTACCAATTCTTTGTGACTTCGTGACACCAAATACTCGTCGAGGTTAGGTTTAGGTTAGGTTAGGTACATGCACTCGATCTATTAACTCAGATTAAATTAAGTTTACCAATTTTTTGTGACTTCATGACACCAAATACCAGTCGAAAAGTGATTGGCAGTCTGATTTATTCATGTAGGACCATTATTTGACTTCATTGCGGGTACATTTGGGTATATTTGGGTAATTACTCGCTCCTCGGTACATGCACTCGATCTATTAACTCAGATTAAATTAAGTTTACCAATTTTTTGTGACTTCATGACACCAAATACCAGTCGAAAAGTGATTGGCAGTCTGATTTATTCATGTAGGACCATTATTTGACTTCATTGCGGGTACATTTGGGTAATTAGTCGGACCCGTCCAGGGGGCTCTGTCCCCTGGTAAAGAAGTTAGGAAGGTTTGGTTGGTGCTATTGGTGCTATTGTGGGGTTATGAGATATTGGTTCACACTCAGGATGGGATGGAAAAAGGAAACTCACAATGTGCTCACTGTATACACATTGTATTGGATGTACAATGCAGCTTGTTGCTGGGTAGGCAGCATGGTAACAAGCGTTGAGTAGAGAGAGCTGGTTGGTGAGGGTGCCCAGAGGAGGGCACGCAGCTTGAGGGACGCCGAGGTTGCCGCCAGGCTGGCGCGGAGGTGGTGTTGCTTGCTGGTGGCACTGGGTAGAAAGAGAGCGGTCACAGTGGTGTCAGGCCATATAAGGCGGGGGTAGGCGTGGGTAGATAGTTGACCCCCGCTCCGTGGGTGGCGCTGGAGGCGTAGGCTGGGGAATTCGAGAAGGTTCGGTGCTTGTAGGGGAGGAATCCACTACACTATCAACCACGTATTACTAATTAAGTCATCCTTACCAACCAAACGTACCTCACCTACCTAACTTCCTAATTAGGGGCTCTGCCCCCGCAGTGCACCCCCCCACCCCGCATATTAAATATCTTGGTTCTAGGTTGTTTGTGCGAGAAATGCCTGAGTAAAAGTGTCTTAGAATTGTCTAAGCTATTGTTTGCAAAAAAGAAAAAAAGTGATTCAGTTGCTGGCGAATGCAATACAGTACACTGTGCAGGTAGTAGCTTAGATTTTTCTAGTAGTTTTCTGATGTTCAACTCCCGTTATCTCGATTATGGGTGAAATACACCAAAAGTGTCATAGATGAAATTTGTCTTGATTTTGTATGAGCTTACCATTAGCAACAACAACAAAACTCTGAACTACATTCTTATAAGACCTACTAGCTTGATTCACTAGTTGCTTGATTCACCTTCTTTTCACAATGGCTTAAGAACTTTAGTTTGTTGTCAACATACACCCAGGTCCTGTTTCTTTGTCCCCTTGGGACATGTGGTACTCCTCCTTACTGTTGGTACGACCTAGGTGCATCCTCTTACAGTTCGTGACATTGAATCTAAACAGCCATTTCTTTAACCACTCTTGAAGCCAACAGAGATTTTTTTGTAGCTCTTCACAGTCCATTTGGTTCTTAACTTCCTTGAATAACTTGGTATCATCTGCAAATATTTGTATGGAGGAGTGCATAACTTCTGGAATGTCATATGTGAAACAAATACCCGGTACATAAACAACAACGGGCCCAGTGTACTGCCCTGTGGTACTTCAATTGTCACGGGTACACATGACCATTTCATGGCTTTAATCACCACACACACTACTTGCTGTCATGAAGAAAGTTTCCTATCCAAGCTAGGACACTTCCCCGAATCCTGTACCCTTCCAGTTTAATTCTCAGACTTTCATGGGGTAAACTGCCAAAAGCCTTGGCAAAATCCAGATACCCTATATTGTCGACATTACCACCTTGTTCCAAAATTTGAGTCCAAACATCCAGTACCTTGAGTAAATATGTCACGAAGGCACATCCTGGCATAAAACCACATTGCAATCCTTTACAGGGCTATTTTGTAGTAGATGTTACTTCATAGCATCTCTTGTAATGCTCTCTAGTACTTTACACACTATGCTGGTCAAGCTTGAATATAGGACTCACAAACCTATTTTCCAGTTTCTCTTATTATTAAAGTTAATAGATGCTATTATAGGTAAGGGGTCTACAGAATAAAACATTCTTAAACAAGTGTAGAAACTGTATTTAAAGAATGCAAAAACCAGTGGCAGAAATATATAGTACAATAATATAAATAATGGTTACCCCTCGTGTAACGAGGATGGCCGAATGTGACAGAAATAGTACTGTACTCGCATCACTGTTGCATGGTTGATGGTTCCTCATGCCTTACAGATTTCTCTAGTGATATATGATCTCAAATTACCTTCATCCAAAATTGTAACAATAAAAAATTCTCAAAATAATATTTTCCATTCTAAATTTTAGAATCGTAACTTTTGCCATTTTATCCTTGGAGTAGAGTACTTCATATCAACACTACTGTATATTGTAACTAACTTGAATCTTTGGTATTCATTTAACTTATTAACCTGAAGCATTGTTTTGTTTTTCTTTACCAATTGTCCACTCCCTGGCTAGTCAAGTGGTCAGTCATTTCTCTGTTGTGTACAGGGTGATATAGTACTTTGTGCTGGGCATATACAACCTCTTTGTAACCTATGAAATGTGACCAGCAAAAACCTCAAAGCACTTCCATGATCATGAGTTACCATAGGTCTTAGTCACAGCAAAAGATACATACAGTACCCAACTTAACTAGTGTCTGGGAAGAAAATGAAAAACAGTACCATTACATTATTTTGGTTGTTAGAACAAACTGTAAATAGAAATACTGTGATACTATATCATTCTATTGATCTATCTACCAATGAAATAACAAAAGTAATAAATATTAAAATAATACAGAACTGTATATCTAATGAAACAATCATACAATACTCTTAGTGAAATCACTATATGCAAAATAATACAGTACCTGTATTAAAAAAACAAAAACAATATGATTACCATGATATGTATATCACAGATTGCTTCAATACTTCTAATTTGAGTTTGGAAATCACATAAAGCTTCATTTGCAATAAATAAGAATGTATTTACTTCTCCTGCCATCTTCAATTTGAGCATGAAATACCTCATGACACAAAGAGTAGCGGTGTTGTGCTAGGAAGTCTGCAATTTTATTTTGCAAAACATCAAATAACACTATATGAGTTGGCAGAGTTTTAAATACAGACTGATGTAATTCGCTGTTGAGACCATCCAATTGTCTATGTTCTTTGGAGTTTAGCCTACTGACTGTAATCCCAGAATCATACGAAAATATCTGTTTCTCACTTAGAGAGCTGGAGGTCTGACCATACTCGAGGTGTAGCCAGCTAAGTGGATTTTCTTCAAAAACATCTGCTTCATCCATATAATCCTCCTTGTGCTGAAGATTTGGCTCACAGGTCAGAAACTTCATTGATATGTTTTTATGTAAATGACTGAAAATAATACAAAATGCTGTTAATGTGTGAATAACTAGAAAAAGCTTGTGCAAAAATATAATTACATTTATTATCTACAAATAAGCTTTGCTATACAGAAATCTTGTAACAGATTCTGAAATGAGTTTATTTTATGAAATTACTTTAAGTAGTAAAATATTTTTGGCAAGTTTCAAGGGAATTTCAGTATACTGTACCTTCTACTGCAAGAAATTTATATACAGTACCGGTATATATATTTTTTAACAATCATTGCCCATGTTTTTTATGAATCCATACTATCCAAATACAGTATGGTTTCACATTGCATCTTAATAAAAATTCTTTACTCCATATATTGTTCTCACATCTTTATGCTATACCCTAACTCTCCTCTTAAAATCTACAAAACTTGGTATTTCATTCATTTATACTGTACTGCTCCCATGAGACCTAATCTGAATGCAGTGGGTCCAGCTATATCCATATTTATTAAGACCAGGTACAACACAGGTTGCCCTAATTTAGGTTGGGGGTTGTGTAAAAAGATCAATGTAAGTGAAACTTGGTTTCCATAGTAAAAAGGGGGGGGCTTGTGTTTACAGCTACACTCACAACATTTTAGCAATGTATTTTTTAGTGTCTACTCTATATTTGTGGTCTGCAATTTAATATAAATACTGCACACATGCCACTCAATGTTTATTTACTTACTGTAACATTAGAAATTATGAAAACAGGAAAGAAAAGAGATCTTTGAGTATACGTATAAAATTATGCAATTAACAACATAATTTATTTTTCAGTTAGACAACAGGTTCGTTTTTATTAAAATCATCACATACAATACCCTGTATACTGTACAATAATGTAATTATAACATGTATGGTAGACAGGTTATCTCTGATTACCTTAAGGAGTTGTGACTCTGCCTTGGAAGTCTCACATCTAATGCATAGTTCCCACTCAGTAAAAGTGCATTGGAAATAGGAAGGGTATCCAGCCATAAAACTTATTTCAAATTTGCTAAATGACAACTGAGACACCATGCCATCAAGTAATCATGGTCAAGCATGGATAATAACCACAAAATGATGGTGATGACTGTTTTTGTATTTATGCAATAGCATCAGTATTCATCATCATTCATTACCTTTTGCAGCTATTTTCCACACTTGCACGGGTTAGCTGTGATTATCAGATGGTAGGGTAGGAAGTTTTATGGCTGGATGCCTTTCCTATTGTCAACTCATTTTTGCAGTGGGAGCTAGGCCTTAAAGGTAGGAATTCCATGCTACTCCGTGAGGTAACAAAATAAATCCTGCTTACCTGAATACGGAAAAATTTTGAAGAAAAATTTTGGCAAGGTATTTACTCATACCATATTGTTTCTAAGCCATACTATAACTTTTGGATGATTTGTCGTGTCAGCCCTCACAAGTCATGGTGATACAACTATGTGATGATAGTCCCTTACCTTAATATTTTTATCTTAACAAGTTTAGCTTAGGGTTATTTAAATTCTTAAAAAGTTATCAACATCAGAACCATATTCTAATGACCAGGAGGTGTTCCTAAATTCAATTACAAAATATTGAAACATGTGAGATCCTCCATGAGAAAAATCTTACATACAGGCTACTGAGGCTAGTCTATTTTCATCAATCTAACCCTCAACTCATTGCTGGTTCTAATCCTGTCAAAAACCCCAAGTAGTTAATTTATCAGAATGAGGCATATTCCAACTTGCTGAGAATGTTTAGAATTACAATGCCTACCAAGTCTCTACCCTAACACATATTCAATAAAGCAATCCATAATCTGCCAGCCTGGTAGAATACATATGTATCACAATAGATATTACCTGCTGTGTTTCATAAGATTCAACTTGTTTAGTGATCCGCAGTGTTACCTTTGTAAAATGCAGGCCTTTTCTTAACAGTCGCAAATAGTATAAACCTTGAAATCACTTCTGTGGAGGTGATTAGAGGATAAGAAACAGAAGCCCACTAGCATGACATCAGTATGGTGGAACCAATTGCATGAAATGACAGCATCCATATCCTTGGGAAACCTTTTTCTCTGGGAATTAATAAATTGGGATATGGTAGGAAAGACAGCTGTAGTAGCATCATCACTGTACTAAAGTAGATAACACTGTTATGTTGGGTCATTATAACTAACAAGAGTTATCTGCAAAGTTTGTATATAATAAAAAATGAAAGATAAGAATATAGATAATTTTAGCAGGTACAGTATACTGTTTAAGTGGAAACCAAAAATAACAAATTTGGAAAATAAAAAGACAAAGCAGGAAATACAGCAATAAAGATGTAGAAAAGGGGCAATAACTGAACGGCAATACTGGATTCGAGAATGTCTGGCTCAAGTGTAAAAACTCCAAAATAATTGAACCATCAACATAACAAAGAACATTATTTTTTGTACTAAAACCCACCAATGTCTTACCTATGGCATGACAATTACAGTATAGTTCCACAAAGACACTGCATCTTTTTATTCCTCAACCTCTCCCAGTCTCCTTGTGCTACACAATGCATACATGTAAGCAAAAATGATTACCTGAAGTATGGTGTTGAGTGGCAAGGCATCAGAAAAAGAATATCTGAATTGTTATTTCTCTCAATATCCTTCTGCAGTATGGTCATAGTATCAAGTGGGCCTCGCTGGTGGACCAAACCCAGATATAAGGCAGCTACCAGGTTGGGTACTATCAGGAAGATGAAAACAAATGCACTCCTGAAGTGGAAAACATAATATTAATACTGAAATAAAATGTGAATAAGTTTAAAATTGAAATTTTTGTAAAAATGAATATCAACTTGAATATGCAAAGAAAATTTTCACAATAATACAGGGTAAATGGAGAAGTTCCCACTGACGAAAAGAAATCCTAACCTAGAAACAGGTCTTACAACTCCTTTAATTCAATAAACAAGGAGTCCAAACAAGTCTGTATTGCTCAGGTAATCATGGCTACTCGATGCAAGTGTGGAAAATTACCATAAAATGGAGATGTTAAGAAATTAGACAAAACTGCAGCTATGTAAATGAACCCATCTTGGGTCTCAACACAGGCATTCATCAGACAATGTGTAATAAAAAACATAGCAGATCAGTAAAAACAGAAAATTAGAAAAAGATGGAAGCAAAACAAAATTGATGACTGATCCTGATATTCCATTTTATAACCAAAACTGGACTAGATGACTACTGAAAGTCTATGCCATCCAATGAACCACAATAATGCATATGACTGACTGCTTGAGACTAACAATTAACAATATGATAGTGGGAAATTCAGCCTAGTGTTGAATAATTAAAAATAAAACAACAAATTACAGTAAATCTCCTGATGATAAAGAGCAATACATGTTTATAAAAAATGATGCTTGTAAAGTTTGAGGATTTATGAATTTTTTTTTAATTTTGGCCACACCCTTATCTTACCTGCATCTTATGGAGTGATCTGTCCTCTTGGAGTAAGAAGCTAGTGTGAAAGCAATATAGTCACCAGCAATACACAAGCAGAGAGGCAGGACTGGTAATAGGAACCTGAACTCCTTGTGACCTAAACAGCTGAAAATATTTACAGAAATATTAAAACAAGTTTTGCAATACATAATTAAAAAATTTCTCATGATTTAAAAATACTGTACAGGGTTGATGTGTGAGACCATTTATGGCCAAGGACAGGAGGTGAATGCCCCAAGAGATATCTTCACTAGATCATCCCTTGCCGGTGCCTGACATGGCTAAAGGGGTTTATCCTTACAGTATTTCTTTGGTTCCTGTTCCTATGTTACTTCAGCCCTTCTTTCCCAAATGCTCCTATGAGTATTATAAAGCTAAAAAAAAATATTGAACTGATCCACTGAACCACCCTTATGCTTGAGTCTTGCACAAGCCAACCCACCCATCATCTCTTGCTAGCTTAGCAAGTTTATCACTTGTCCATGCTTGTTTAATATCAAAAATAAAATAAAATCATCACAGTTCTCTAATTTGGCTTAGAAATAAAGAAAATATAATATAAAGCTACTGTATACGTAGTACGAAAATTGAAGAGCATGGGTGTGTATGTTTGGGAAGTGAACGTTTGTGTGTGAAGGCAGTGGGCTGAAACTGTGTAGCTGACTAACCATTCCAGCCACGCCCCCTCCCCTTATGTGAGTCAGCTGGGTGGCTGAGTAGTGTTACATCACCCACAGGATGGCTTCAGTGTGGAAAGAGCTATTCTTTGTAAATAGAATATTACAGTATAACTGTACCAGTGATTTGGCAATCACTTCACTAATATACACAGGACACAGCAAAATGCTGAGATCCCTTATGATAATAATTTCTTTAATTTTTATTTTTTGTGCATACTGTATTGAAGATTGTGTGTGCATGTAACAGAGTAAAAAATAATATAAAATTATGTACTACTACAGTACTGTACTGTATACAGTATCTACTAGAATTTACGAGTTGAAGAATAACCATAACATAGTTCACAGCTCAGCCTCACCCGCTCTGAGTGCTAACTCGGCATCCATCTCTCTCTTGCACTGGTTCCGTGAACATCTTCCAGGCGTTTGTGCTAGTAAAGTTTTCTTTACTGGTGAATTTTACCGCAATCATGACCCCTAAGAGGAAAATTAGTGGCAGGGTTCGTGGTGGTGAAAGTGAGAAAAAGAAAAGAGCTCATAATGTGAGAACTTTTGAAAAAAAAAAGGGTAAATTATCATAAATAGGGGACATTATAACATGGGGTTCAATGGGATACATTCCCAGCCAGTCCCCAAACACACTTGTATTACCGCCAAAAAATATTATTATCAGTACCAAACAAACAACACTCACCACATCATCTTGGACAAAACTGGTTATTATCATGTCCCCTTTGAGGCTAAAGGGACTCCTGTAGGTGGAGTGGAGACAACTCTGATTCCCACACAGTCTCTGGGGAGTCTCATGCTACTTAACCCTTAGGCCCCGGGTAACGTTCCAGAACGTCCGCCTATTTTCCCGCCATTTTTTATTTTATTTATTTATTTTTTTTTTTCATTATTTTAACCCTAACCCGGGGCTTAAGGGATAAAAATGTCAAGCTTCACCTCAGAGACATGGTTGTCTTGGATGTCTTGGCCTTCCCAGACATTTTCAAAGTTACAATACACTGCTCACTTCACAGTCACAAAAACGCAGCAAATTATAATAACAAAAACAATGATAACGGCCGACACTGCTCACATCTTCAAGACAACCGAGTCGACGCATCTTACAGTCACAAAAACACATAAATTATCACTTCACACTCACCATATCACAGTTCAATCTAAATGTTAGTGCTGTCCTCTCACTATAGTGTATAAGAAAAAAAACTGTTGATAAGTACAATGTAAGATGCTGGCTGATAATCATGGAGCATGTGATGGCGGGTTTATGATCAACAAAGAACCAAGGGAAGGGGTGTAGTGTGCAGGTTGGCCATGTGGCAGCGTGCAGGTAGGCTGACAATTGAAGGTAGAGATGTGTGATGCAGAGGGTTAAATATTGTTTCCCTATAAAATGTCACAGACTTGACATAGAAATATATAATTTGCATTGCTGGAATCCTTGCAAGACAGCGATTAATTTGAGCATAAACAACCCAAAGTTTGCAGAGAAAAAAATAATCCAACCAATGGATATCGATGGCTATTCGATGGATATCATTAAAGCGAGTTCTTTTGATCGTATATAGCAAAATGGTGTTAATTTATAACCATCGTTATAGCAGAATATTGCATCTTTTATTACCAGTAAGTTTCACACTACAGTCTCTCCTCAACTTATGACGGGGTTCCATCCTGATGACCAGGTCATAAGTCGTAAGTCGAAAAGGCGAAAATAATACATAGAAATTCTAAAATGGGTGTCTTTTTTTCTTCTCAGCACCACGAGAACTCTCACTTTTATGCTTGCCAGCCATTTTAAAGGGAATTACAAAAAAATATTTTGTCAGTACACAGCGCGATCACTAACGTTGGGACTCGAAAATACGTAATGTGAAAAATATTTTAAAGGACCATGACCGTCGTATGTCCGGGTTGTCGTAAGTCGAGGAGTGACTGTACAGTGTTTTAAATATGGGAATAACTGGATACTCTACACTTTCCACAAAAGTCCTCAAACAGCTGGGCACGACAAATTTCAGAATGAGCATTATGGCTAGTGTCATCTCAGAATAGTTGATATGCTCGGTTGCGAAGTGACTCTCAATATTTTGTAATAATATATGTGAAAAGAAGTAATTAAATTTGCAATCGAACTTCCCCAGAGAGCAATGTTCAGTTTTATAGTTCATTTTGTCATATTGCATGAACCTTAGAATGTTCGAGAACTTTTAGTGGCAAGTGTACACGCTTCTGGCTGTGAATGACTATAATGTTATTTCATGTTTGTAATATTGTACAGTGGAGTCACCCAATAATGTAAGTTAGGGATCGCCAGGGCCTGTGTTACGGTATACACTACAGGTGAGTAAAGTAAGGCTAAAGTGAAAAAATACAAGTCTGACTTGAAATGAAGCAGTCATCAACAGCAGTGGTCCAGGCTATCGTAGTCCTGTAAAAAAATAATTATGCTTTCTATGGCTGGCAGCTCACTATTTAAACTCCATGCTACAGCATTCAACTGTGTTAAGGCACAATTACACATTATTATAAAAAAATTAGGGTGGTAATTAGCGGTGCCAAGTTATTCTTTGGCGCATGACTTTGCTGTACGGTATATTACTTCTGTTTATTAACCTTTCCCAATTTTAGTTACCAGATTACATCATTTAATTGTCAATGGTGTAATAAAGAAAGTTTGGAGAAGGCACTATATACTGGACACAGACTAAAATATAAGATGTCAGTGTAAAATCATGGCTAGAGCTAAAATTAGCCAAATTATATTAACTTATAAAACTTACCTGTAAACAAAGATAGACCACATGCAGACAGACAGCAGTTCCTTGTGTCTCGTTGGGTAGTACAGAGTAGCCAGTATAAAAGGGAGTAGATGTGTGGTGAGTGTTGCAGGCAGACCCTGGGTCAGATACCAATGCCAGGGTAAAACACCATAGTGACAGGCTAAACCTGATACCACATTAAAGTAAGCAAACTTCCATGGTACAATGATAAACCTACCATAGTACCATGAGTCCAGTCCTACAGTAAGAACCATAACAGCAGTTCTGTAATAAAAAAGAAAAAAACATACAGTAAAACCCCTGTAATTTGTACTTCCTTAATTTGAAATCACTCACAATTTTTAATGTTTTGCTGTTACAAAATATATGTTACGTACTATTTTTGCAATATTTCGTTAAATTTCGAAAATGAGACATTTTAAAATACAGTATGTATTAGGATATATATACAGTGATCCCTCGGTTAACGAATGCCTCGATTAACGAAATTTCGGTTAACGAATTTCCTTCCATAAGATTCTTCACTTCGGTTTACGAAAAAATTTCGGTTAACGAATTCCTTACGAATTTTTCGCAACATGTTTACACCTGCTTTTGCCTGCTTACCAGCTGTAGTATTAGTCCGCCAATACAGTAATCGGTTTTAAGGCTTAAATTCGTTACCATTTGAGTAAATATCAAGAAGGTTGTACTATTCAATAATTTTCCAAGTCTTATATTAAAGTTTTTAGTCATTTTAACAATTATTTAACATAATTGAAGTACAGGGAACTAGTTTTTAGCACGCCAAACAGCCGTTTGACTCCCCCATAATGGCATCACTTTGTGTCTGTTCAGTGGAGGAAGCATCTTGCTTGACTCTCTCTTGAACATAAACTATTTTTATGTTTTTACAATACAATTATTGGTCATTCTGAAGTTTATTTTACAAATTGACAATATATAGTGCAGTGCAGTGTTGATTTAAAGAAAATAATCTTGAATTACACCAAGTGAACTAAAATTTTATGGGTGAAATGGCAGCATGGGGTGACTTCTCTTCCACCCCAATGCCTGCTCTTCTCCCTTCTCCTCCACCCCCATTCTAATTCCCATCATTATCATCATCAACCAGGAGCCTTCTACCTGCATACCTCAAAGTAAGTGTACTTTACTGCATTTATTTTTAGTTTCTATGTAATTTTCGGTGAGCTGGAACCAATTACCCAAAATCCCATTGAAACAAGGTTTCGGTTATTGAACGATCTTCTGGAACGAATTGTGTTCGTTAATCGAGGGACCACTGTATACAGTAATACCCCGATTTACGCGGTTCTCGTTTACGCGATTCTACATTTACGCGGTACCTCGCCAGAACTGCAATTTCATTTTACGCGGTGCATCTACTCATATACGCGGTGCATCTACTCATATACGTGGTGCATCTACTCATATACGCGGGAAACGGAGCGGGCAGGATGCGCACAAGGTCGCCCAGTCATCAAAACATTACCGAGTTCTTCACCCGCCACCCACCACAGCCCACCAAAGTCAGTGATAGTGAGGATATGGACTTATATGGACTTTCAGGGGTTTGACAAAGAGGCCCTGCAAGCCTATGTGGTGGATAGTGATACAATTGATACAAGTGGTACAGGTGAGGGCCAATAATCTGCTCTCTGCCTCGGAACCAAACCCCCATCCCCGTGTGCCCAGCCATCTTTTTTACTAATGTAAGTGTTAAAAAACCTAATATTATTGATATTTCTCTTAATAATTAATTGTGTGTGCATACCATCATAAAATTAAGATGTTATTAGTGGAGTTTGGGGGTCGGGCCAGTCTCTATTGGAATTAATCCCATATGTTCTGTTGTTCACTTTACACGGTTTTCACTTTCCGCAGTACCCCGTGGGTTCAATTGACTGCGTAAATCGGGGTACTACTGTACATATTAAATTTTTTGTAATATTTGGTAAAATGTTTAATTATGAGAGACATTTATGAATACGGTATGTATGACACACATGTTGCCCTGGGATGCTACCGCCTGCCTCAGTGTAAACAAGTACAGCTCCTCCCCGACATAAGTCGAAAATGCTTAAACAATACATAGAAAATCTAAAATGGGTGTCTCTTTTTCTTCTCAGCACCACAAAACTCTCACTTTTAAGCTTGCCAGCCATTTTAAAGTGAATTACAAACGAAAATTTTGTCTGTGTACTGACGTTGGGACTCGAAAATACGTAATTTGACAAAATTTTGGTACGACTAAGGCAGGTCGTAAGTGCGGGTGGTCGTAAGTCGAGTAGGTCGTAAGTCGGGGAGGAGCTGTACAGCGTATACACGCGTCGGTCAGTTCATGTGGGTCAGTCATGAAGTGTACGTCAATGGTCTACGGAACAAGCTTTTTCAACTAGTTTTTCCATCAATGTCCAGTGTTTGAGCCATTATGTCTGATAACCCTAAATCTGGTACAGTACTGTACTTAAAAATTTAAATAGCGTGTGCGTGGCGGACACATCCCCCTAGTGCTCGCCCTACCGGGCTGAGGTTGAAGATCTGTTATGGTTATTCTTCAACTCACAATTTTGGCACAACTGAACTAAGTGGGTTGCTGATTTTATACTGGACAGCTGCCAATTCAACTATTTTTACTCACATCAAGTTTGTATTACAATAAATATTTGATGTCCACTTCATGATTGCTTTAATTACTAATTATTTAATTCAGTAAGGTGTCTTCTTATCTACAGTATTTTAGTCTGGCTACTAAGTGACAATTTTATTCAGCTGGGGAAGTTCCATCTTGTAGTCATGAGGTTAAACCAAACTTTGCTGTGTCTACAAGATATAGATTCAAACATATTTATAATCCATTTGCATCTAAATGCCCCCTTTTGCAAAGGAACACCTTACTTATAACATGAATCATCCCCCTCCCATCCTTTTGTAATTTTAGTATTTTGATCTGGCTGGCGCTAGACGTAATCGTCAGTACTGTCAAAGTAATATTCTGCATTGTACTATCTCCCAACTGATGTACAAGTACACTTTCCTTCCTCAACCCCTTTACCTCAAGTCCCCCCACATAAAGATACCTACCCTAACACACCCCTCCTCTCTCCCTCCCACTCACTAGCAAATGTTTCGAATTCACACTTAAGAGTTCGGGGTTCACACCTCAGAAATAGAGAGGATTGGCAATGCTAAGTCGTAAATGCAAAAGTGGAGCCAACTATACTTATACAAAAAATGGGAATTAAGGAAGCTTATGAGGTTTCATCAAGTTGGTTAATGCATTTTACACTATCATATTATCAAGTTGCCTGGACATTCAGGAAAGAAAACAAATGCTGTCTCTCCAAAAAGTGGAAGAACACTATAACCTCTCTCATGACTAATTGTTTAACACAAGAAATTGCACTCTATTGGTGATGCTTAGCTAGGAGAAATTACACCTCAGCATTGGGATTAAAGCTGAACAAGAACAGGACTACGATCCTAAGAAAATTACAGCCTGTGAAAATGCTGTCTATTCGTTTTGACTTCTCATTTTCAGCAAGGCTGCCGAACTCCACAAAGTAGACTCTTGAATTTACACATCTCAATTTACAGCGAATTTGAATTTGCCTCCTTCTGTCCCCAGATAGCATCTGAACCAATCCCATAGCAAGGTGATGATTATAAGTTTGAAACATTCATAATAGACCATGTAGTCTCCTGTTGACCATTTAATGAGCTTTTCAATTTATTGGCATGCTTCATGTCCATACCCTCCAGTAAATTCAAGGGTTTGCTGTATACTCTACAGCACTTAGAAAAACATGAAAGTGCTTCTTATGCATTATGTAGCAAATAAACCTGTATGGATGATATAAAATTTTTTCCAAGGGTGCTATGAAAAAACTTTTGTAAAGGAGCATTTTAATGTAGAATAATGTATTTAATCAATGTATTTAATCAATACCCTATAAGGTTTACAGGTTGACAATCCCTTATCAGAAAACCTTGGGGCCAGATTCATTTCAGATTTCGGAATTTTTCAGATTTCAGGATGGTTAGGTTAGATTTTTTTTTTTTTTTTTTTTTTACAGGGAGCAGAACACCCCTCCTAGAAAAAACTTTTGATTTTCAGAGGTTTTCGGAATTTCGGATAAAGGGTTGTCAACCTGGCTGGTACAGGAGGGTATTAAGATTTCATGTTGAATGCTACATGGTATCAATTATCCCAAAAAATTACTATCTAGAGGAGTCATTCCCTATATACAGTACTGTACATACTTCATATTATGAAAAGTCTAATGTACTCACATGGTGAACAGGTATTTCAGCAACAGCCACATTCTGGAACGTGTGAACCACAAGTGTTGCAGGCACAGAGGCACAAAAGGTATGGCTGCTGTTGGCCGCATGGCACACGCTGCCCCGACCAGCAATAAATAACCACAATCATGGGAGTCTGTTGATAAACAAAAGCACTCACTTCCATCAGTGTACAGTATACAGACTAATTTTACTAACTTGTTGGTCAAGTATTAACAATTAGTTAAATTTATTATAAGATTTCAAACATTCTGTTACTAGAGAATTTGGAGCAAAGTTTAAATTTTCATAATTTAACCCTGTATCCTGAAATAGCTGCTGTTAATTCGTGCTATAAAAAATTACGACATTATACAGTATGCAAAATACTATATGATTCAACATATAAATGCCAACCACTCTTTCTTTTCTATAAATAAATTTCATGTGCACTAATATGCAGTCTTCATGTCTAATATATCTCTTCTCACCTAAGCAACCTGTGATTATATATATATATATATATATATATATATATATATATATATATATATATATATATATATATATATATATATACACACTGTATATATATACAGTTGTACCCCGCTTTACGCGGTCAATTGAACCCACAGGGTACCGCGTTAAGTGAAAACCGCGTTAAGTGAACAACAGATTATATGGGATTAATTCCAATAGAGACTGGCCCGACCCCCAAACTCCACTTTTTGACAACACACAACTATGTTGTAGTAAAAATTTTATCTTAACTTTATGATGGTATGAACAAACAAAAATATAGAAGAGGTTAGGTAAGGAAAAATAAAGGTTAAGTTAGGACAAATAAAGGTTAGGTTAGGAAAACTAAAAGTTAGGTGTAACACTTACGTTAGTAGACGAGATGGGTTGGCATACTGGGATGGAGGCGGAGGGGAGGGAGGGAGGAGGAGGAGGGGGAGGGAGGGAGGAGGAGGAGGGAGAGGCGAGGCAGGCGGGAGCGGGTGGGGCAAATCTAAAAATAGCGTCTCGAGCCGGACACTCTGCGCGTATATGGGTAGATGAACCGCGTTAAGTGAAAGTTCGGTTCTGGCGAGGCACCGCGTATATGAGAAATCGCGTTAAGTGAAACCACGTAAAGCGGGGTACAACTGTGTATGTATATATATATATATGCTGATAACCACAAGGAAAGAAGAAAACACGAAGTTCGTGTTTTCTTCTTTCCTTGTGGTTATCAGCATATACCTAGATCACGCGCACCTACAGTGATTTACTTGCATATATATATATATATATATATATATATATATATATATATATATATATATATATATATATATATATATATATATATATATATATATATATATATATATATATATACCTGTATATATATATACAGGAGGCTGCTTTTGGATATTGAGAGTGCAAATGATGGTGTACAGAACTACAGTATACATATTGACAACAAGTTTTAGTCATAGAATATCCATAATAATCCCTTCCTGCATCTATTTTAGATACCGTAAACTTTCCTTACCTGTTTAAAGACATTCCAGTATATAACTACCTGTACAGTACACAAAACATTTATGAAAAAATATATTATCACGTGAACAAAAGGAAATGATTACCTGTAGTGATATCCCTGTTAGCCGGAATCATTAGTGCAGAGTTCTTCCCGGGAACGAGAGTTTTCTGGTATTGAGACAAATTTCTCATCTCTGAATTTTACAGGGTATCTGTACTGTACTGGGGTAAGTTTTGCAAGAGTGTAAACTACACATCTCACGTGAAGAGAAACTATCACATGCTGTATCCCCAAAATGTTTCCAGGTGCTGGGGAAAGTTTTCCGAGTCGTTAATTACAGGTACGCATCTCGCACGGACAAACTCAGAGCTGTATGTATTTATGCAAACACCACTGTATATGTAAAATATATTGTAAATAAACAAAATATACTACAGTATACACTATTCTGTACTGTACTCACTAGCAAATACTGTCATCTTGGGTTTGTGATGCAGGCAGATCAAATGGTGATATGATGACACAGGATGGCCTGCCTTGTCCTGTACCATCTACTGGGTACTGTAGCAGGTGTTACTGTTACCCTCCTCTCCCTCCATGAAGGAGGGACTGTACATGCACTGCATACTATACACATACCCTGTACACACTAGCCTACAGTAAGTATACACTGTCCAATCTGCTATGTACAGTACTGTTTGTACAGTACTTTCATTCTCACTGAATGTACAGTAGAGTATACGTAACTGTAATCACGTTTTACAACTCAGCACTGCTTTAGCACCGTATTCTTGGCTGATTGTGTCCTGGTAATGTAATGTTCAATACTGCAAAATACAAATTGTATGCAAAAACAGCAGCAACAGAGGGAACAACCTTGTACAATGGCAGCAGAATATGAAGTAAGCATGTGAGCCTACAGCCTAAGTTACCCAGGCAGCTAGCCCACCAACGCGCCCAGGACGTGGGGATGTTTCAGAGCCTGTTGCAATCTTTCGGAAATCCTAGAAAATTTGTTCGCATGCCTGGAACAGAGGGATTGGATTTCCTCAGAATTATTTCGGAAAATGAGCACGAGATCTTCCTTGGAAACTCGTTCCAATGTCCGAAATGGATAGAGCTTTCCCGGAATTTCCCAGAAGGCTCAAAATTTATTCCGGCTATTTGAGAGTTCTGGAGACCAGAGATTCCTACTAACGGGAAGATTACTGCATAAGATGTTCAACGAATACATTATTGCAATAATATTAGTTGGTACAGGAGGTCCCTGGGTTATGCATGTCTGACTAACGAACATCCGCCAATACAAATGAAGTTAAACTTTAAATCTGCAGTACCTGTATTTTATTTACATTATGACTTATTTTTTACTTTCATTTACTGTATTTTGTCATTCTATTTCTTTTTCACTCTTAAATCAAGTGATTTTAGATGTCTATAAGGACTTAGGCATTTATAAAGTGTGATTTTATACATTGTTCTGTAAGTACGATATGCACATAAGGTATGTGGTTCGACTTAAGTACATTTTCGACTTAAGAACATCCATAGGAAAGAAACTTGTACTTAACCCGGGGACTGCCTGTAATTGTATAAACATATAGTTCACAATGTTTATGCCCAGTAAATACCTTTTACTCTTCTCCATGGGTATAGGCAGAGAGCAACAGATAGAAGAATCATCTCAGCACAGGATGTTAAAGTTCGTGGAGCACAATACTCCAAGAACCATGAAGAAACCAAGCAAATGGTAATCCAGCCAGTTGAGTTTTTACCATACAAGATCCCAGATAACTTCCAGATATGATAGTCACCAACAGCAAAGGCAAGGGCATGAAGCACTCTTGGAACATGAATCTGTGAACAAATAGCAAAGAATGATTGTACAAGTGAAAAAAGCCGTTTTTTTCTAAAAAAACAGTTTTTCTGATATAGCTCGAATGCGATGTCAGCAAATGCTATCTAGGTATGTTAATTCCTAGCCAATTCGCCAGGCCAACATACAGTACAGACAATTAAAACATCTAATAATTACTTTATAAGTAATATTAGGAGGACACGTCGCTACCTGGCATTTATTTGCAATTCTCAACCCCCCCCCCCCGTTTACGTCCAACTATGCGCATCGAGAACCTCATCTCTTGCCTCAGAGAGAGCAGTAACTAAAAGTCAACTCTCGAGGGGTGGAGATGGGTGGGTTATGGACGTCGCATTTGAGCTATATCACAAAAACTGGTTTTTAGAAAAAAACGGCTTTTTGTTCAAGCTGAATGTGACGTCAGCAAGAATACCCGAGCAGGAGGTGGAGGGGGAGGTGACTTTGCATACAAGGCTCCGCTGACTGAGGTCCCAATTATATTATAAACCGTTTTGAACATTTCCAAAATTAGGAACATTTACCAGAAGGTAAAATGTTAATTTACTTAAAAAGGATACCCACTTTATTCTAATGAGGAAGAAGGTCCTGGTAGTGGAGATGGACTAGATGGGGGAGGGGAACCCAGCACCACCACATTTGAAGCATCTCTCAGAGATAGATGAAGATAGCTGTCTTTGAAAGTTTTTGGAGATCTCCAAAAGCCCATTTCCTTGATCTGACTGAGGCTCATATGCCGCAGAAAGGCCACAGACCCTGCATATTTCATAGTGTAATGTGCCAAAAATTTCTTGCCAGGGTCTGTTTGATTCACTAATTGAGATAAGGATTTTGTCAATTGACGAGGAGATAATTTCTTACCATCCCTTGATGAGAAAACATAAGGGCCTCGATTAGGGAATCTGGTTAACCATTCCTGAAGATTTTTAACTGGACACAATATGTGAGGAACCCTAGTTTCATCCATTAGACGTTTCATCTTAATAGGTTGACCTTGGAAATCTTCCCTTTCATTTTTTCTTAGGATCTCCGTAGAAAAAAGGATAACATCCTCGTCAGATAATGATGGATTATTGGAAATTGAAATCAGTTCACTGATTCTCATACCCATTGCTATTGCTAGAAGGAAAGCTGCCTTCTGGAGTAATTTATCCCTGTTCAGATTTACATTGTAATTAGGCCCCATAAGAAGATTAGTAACTTTTTCCAGAGACCAAGGCGGGATTCTCTTGGGTCGAGGAGGTCTCTGAATGAAAAAGGACGATCTTAGCATTTGATAAATCCTTGGGTTCAAAGTCATATTAAAACCCCAAGCCAGAGGGTCAACCAACGCTGATTTATAAGATGCAATTGTCGATCCTTGAAGGCCTTTAACTCTGAACAGAAATTTTAAAAATTCTAATACAACTGTTTCCGATAATGAATCTGGAGTTGTTAACTTGAGAAATTATTGAAAAAGATTCCAAGCTTTCTCATATTGAATAGAAGTTTGGGGTCTATGACCTGCTAATACTTGATTAGCTATATTGGAATTACCCAACAACCTATTTAAACATTTTTTTGAGATACTCCAAGATCTTTATTTGTTGCCAATCAGGGGCACAGACAGTATCCCCAAGTAAACACTTAAGGGAAAATTCCTACGTGCGCACTATCACCCGGCAGGGTTGACAGTGCTGAGCCGCTAACATAGCGCTCTATTGGCAGCAACGTTCACTGTTACTCTAGCAATATTTATTGGGTTGAGAATTCCACCCTGAGTTGGTCTCATATAACCCATAGAAGGTGTAAAGTCCATTTCAACATAACTCTAGATTGCTAGTAAGACCGGAAGGTCAACATTCCGGAAGGAACGCTAAGTCTAGCAGCCTCGCTAAAGTTCGCTTGAACCCGCTACTGAGGACATCAAAGTTATGAAGAGACAAACTCAACTCTGGCCTTTTTGCTGAGAACAAATAGAAACCCAAGGGCGGAAGCCCAAAGGTTTTTGTGAACGAACATAAGAGTATGGAGAGAGATAGTCATAGTATTCATATTAGCATGTGAATAATTGGGACAAAGATCGTAAATAATATACATATATATGTATACAGTATATATAAATAGATATATACACATATTCTCTTTTAGTGAAGACGAGCCCGGGAGGGCGCAGCGACTTTCACTGAGTGACTTAAAGGCAAGGGATAGTCACACGATCTAAACGACTCACAAACAAAATGTGTTTTGGTCGCCATGCTGACCCAAAGTCGTATAAGAAAATGTCCCAAATACAATAAATGAGAGACATAACAAAATAAAAGTCACTCTACTTCATCACTGTGCTATTAAGTACAAATACCGTATATAATATCCTTGCAGAGGTGAGTATTTCAGCAATTACAACTCAAATTCGCGGAGCTTCCCTTTGTGTGTATTATAGCTGAATCGCCAGGCAAGAGATGAGGTTCTCGATGCGCATAGTTGGAAGTGAACGGGGGGGTTTGAGAATTGCAATTAAATGCCAGGTAGCGACGTGTCCTCCTAATATTACTTATTAAGTAATTATTAGATGTTTTAATTGCCTGTATGTTGGCCTGGCGAATTGGCTAGGAATTAACATACCTAGGTAGCATTTGCTGACGTCGCATTCAGCTTGAATAAAAAAAAGGCCTATCTTAGTTGACACACACTATACTAATTCAAAATATAGCTGAAACTCTCTAATCTGGCTACCATGGGACATGACCCCTTGCTGGATGATAGAATCTGCCAGACAATAGATGGTCACTTAAGAATAACTTAAAAGGTGAAATAATAAATGAAAAAATGGGTAAAGTATGATTTTATGAACTCATCCTAAATGAAACCATATTTATACTTCCAAATTGATTATTGTAGATGATAATCTTCATAGATATAATTCAATAACACAAAATATTCAAATTAACAAATAATTAAAATTGAATACAAAACTGTACAGTACAATAATACCAGCTGGGAGAATGTGACTTTTCTCACATAAAGGCAATTTAAAAAAAAAAATTGTAATTGGGGTTAAAAATATCTTTAAATGCTTGAATGTCTGTACAGTGGTCCCTCGGTTAACGAACACAATTCGTTCCACAGAATCGTTCGTTAACCGAATCTATTATTTCAATGGGTTATTGGGTAATTGGTTTCAACTCACAGAAAAAGTACATACAAAGTACAGTATATATGTTTTTATAACCTTTATTGTGTAAAACATTTTATAAAAAATCTCATAAAATATATATATATACAGTCGGCCCTTAACATACGCGGGCTTAACATACACGGATTTGCAAATACCCGGATTGCCGCCGGAGGAATATACATTCAAATCGCACGCGACACCACACACTGCACACCGCCCGCCACACACACACACACACACACACACACACACACACATCACCCGCCACGCCACCCTGGGTTCCCGCGCTCCCTCAGTCAGTCAGTCTCGCTGTAACCACGCTTGTGTTGACATCAGCATTGTAGATGCAAAAATCTTACATTTCCGTGAATGTATTATATCAAGCACAGTATGAATAGAATATCACTAATATAACAGTATTTTAACCGAAAACTATTAAAAAAACAAGTAACATATCTTGAACATCGGAAGGTTAGGTAAAGTCTTTTGTTTTCATGTAGTTTATCCTAATTTACATTGAAATACATTACGTTTCAGCAAAACTACTATTTATTTCTGAGAATATGGAAATGTAATATTTTTGCTGAAATGACATACGTATTACAGTGGAAAGTGGGATAAAATAGTGATGAAAGCAATGACTTTCGCTTTCTTTCGTTCAAAAGATGTTACCGTAATAGCTTTTTGAATGGTTTTCAGTTAAAAAAACTGTTGTATTACAATAATATTCTATCCGAATTCACTTGTGATGCAACAGTTTTTTAACTGAAAACGATTCGAAAAACACGTGTACCGTCTAGCTGATACGGCAGAGCCCTGATCACCCTGGTCTTAATCAGACCAGAAATTGCAGTGAAATCTTTTAAGAAATGTGGGATTTCAATGCTCTTGATGGAACAGAAGACTTTTGTTAGGATTATGAGGCTAATGAGAGCGTGATTGAGGATGAAGATATTGATGATCCTATGGCTGATGATGGTGTTGATCCATATGACGATACTGTTCAAGGAGACGACTGGGAGTAGCTGTTTGGTGCTGATGACAAGGAAAATGATTTTGATGGATTGTAATGAAAATATTCAGAAATATGGTATTGTAGTATTTATTCAAGTGAATTAGGAAAGAATATTATTGTAATACAACAGTTTTTTAACTGAAAACCATTCAAAAGTTATTACGGTAAAATCTTTTGAACAACGAAAGAAAGCGAAAGTCATTGTTTTCTGCCATGATTTTATCCCACTTTCCACTGTAATATGTACGCTATTTCAGCAAAAATATTACATTTCCATATTTATTTCTGAGAATATATTCATTCAGTCACAGTTAAGGTAAAATATACTTGTGATGTAATATTTAATGAAATACCGGTATTTAGAAAAGGTTTAGTTTTCTTTTGTTTCAAATTTAATTAACAAAGATTGATGTTTCAATGTAATGAACAAAAATTTATGTATCTATAAATAAACTTTAAAAAATGAATACTTTATGTTTTACATCGTCTCCGCGTACATACTATGCATTTGGCTACTTTGGGCTTACTATGATGACGCAAGAGATCTGCCCTGGCAACTGTACCGACACTCACAGCTGGTGGTGAGTCAAGTTTCATTGTTTACTGGTAGTTACTGGTAAATATTTTCAACCTAACGAAACTATTACCCGTTTAGAGTCGAACTTCAATTTTTTGCCAAAATTTGATCTTAAAACTCGAATTACACATTTATATGGGTTGAATAAGGACATGGGGGGCCAGGGGGTGTTTTTAGGGGCGCTTAAAAATATGTTCTTAACATTCCGGGTATCTCTGTTACCTAACCCAGCGTATGTTAGGGGCCGACTGTGTGTGTGTGTGTGTGTGTGTGTGTGTGTGTGTGTATGTATATACAGCCACTCCTCGACTTAAGACTACCGGACATCGACCGCTAGTCGTACAATTTTTTTCAAATTCGTATTTCGAGTCCAGGCGTTAGTGATTGCGCTGTGTACTGACAAAATTTTTGTTTGTTAATTCCGTTTAAAATGTTTAGCGAGTTTAAAAGTGAGAGTTTGTGGTGCTGAGAAGAAAAAAGACGCATTTAGATTTTCTCTGTACTTATTATTTTCGAATTCGACTTACGACCTGGATTTGGTCCCTAACCCGATATATGAGATTGAATAGTGTGTGTGTGTATGTATGTATATATATATATATATATATATATATATATATATATATATATATATATATATGTAAATATATATATATGTGTGTGTGTAAATTGAAAACAAAAAGTTTTATGGTAAATGACAAATTATATGTATCTGTATACTGTACTGGTATATCCATCTAGTGGGGATACCTGAATAATAGAAATCCCCAAAAGTAGCCCCGTAATAAAGAGCCTCCTGACAGAGGGCTACTGCCAGACACAGCTGTCCATGATAGCCATAACAAATCCATTAAATATTGAATAATAAAAAAATAATTTATATCAGAAGCTGACATTTCATATTTTAAATGTAACACCAAACAATAACTCACCAACAGGAATTGATGTTCTAAACCCACAAGGGCTAAAACTTTGTAAAGACTTGCAAATATGGCTGGATAAAGCACACTTCTTATTCCCTCCTGCCACTCCCATGTTTGATATCCATACCTGGTCCAGAGATGAAAAATATAATTACATTTTGATTACCAGCAAACAGTATTAATTCATGTTATCCTCTTCACCACTAGTCAGCTCTACTGTATAGCTGTTCAGGTGGTTAGAAATTTCTCTGTTCGGCACTGTTGGTAACATTACAGCATTCCTCAAATCTACTGTAATCTTTCTGCATAACAGTTTACTCCACAATGAAAATATAGAAAACTGTGATATTTTCTCTTATAATTCCTCGCATGTTACTGGTCAACAGTGAATGGAATTAAAAACAACACAGCCTTTCTTGTTCATTGTAATTTTTTTTATCTGCTTCATCAGATTAAGTGAGAATTTTCAGAATAGTATACTGTATATCATGCACTTCAAAATGGCCGTGAATCGCCAAATCCGCGAATAACATTTGCTGACCAGGGGGATGGGTTACATTTTTACTTGTGTACAAAGAAATGTATATTTCCTTTATGTGTTTGCCCTTTGGACAATTATTTCTTTTACCTGTATTGTATATATGTGTGTGTGTGTAGACACACACACACAAAACACATACAAATAAATAATAATGGGAAAATCCTCTCACAAATAATCAGAAACAAATATATTAAAAATGTGACAGTATACCCTCAAATCTACGCTATGCTTTGTTATTAATAAAGCATGGAGTGGACTTGAGGATAGACTATCACATTTTTAATAAATTTTTTTCTCATTATTTGTGAGAGGATTTTCCCATTATTATTTATTTGTATGAGTTTTATGTGTGTGTGTGTCTACATACATACATATACACACACACACACACACACACACACACATATATATATATATATATACAATACAGGTAAAGGAAATTACTGTCTCTAGAACGAATGACTCCTTGTCCCGACCGCAAAAATGACGGCAATTTTAAAACTACCAGACATATACAGTGACCCCTCCGTGTATGTAGAAGGCTCCTGGATGATGATGATGATGATGATGGATTTAGAATGGGGGTGGAGGAGAAGGAAGAAGAGAAGGCATTGGGGTGGAAGAGAAGTCACCCCATGGCGCCATTTCACCCATAAAATTTTAGCTCTCTTGGTGTAATTCAAGATTATTTTCTTTAAATCAACACTGCACTGCATTATATATTGTCAATATGTAAATTATATTTCAAAATGATCAATAATTTGCTTGGAAACAGAAAAAAAGCGTTTAGTTGAAGAGAGTATCAAGCAAGATGTTACCTCCAGTGAAAACAGAGAGAGACTAACTCCTGTTATGCTGTGTTAAGAGGCTGGATGCCGCGCATTTAACTAGTCACTTTACCTTCAATTATGTTCAATAATTATTAAAATGACTAAACAATTGAATATTAAACTTTTAAAATTATTGAATAGTATAAACTTCTTGATATTTACTAAAATAGTAAGGAATTTAAGCCCTAGAACCGATTAATGTATTGGCGGACTGATACTAAAGCTGGTTGCCCGGTCAGTGCAAGCAAAAACATGTTGAGGTCAGTTCGTAAGAACTTCGTTAACCGATTTTTTTTTCGTTAACCGAATTGAAGATCCTTATGGAAGGCAGTTCGTTAATCGAAATTACGTTAACCGAGGTGTTCGTTAAACGAGGGGTCACTGTATAAGCATAAAAAAGTGTACTGTACTGTATATCCTGTATTTGAACACTTACTATATGCATGAGCAATAATCATTAATTATTAAATCAATAATATATAAAAATACATAAAGCACTTGCAAGGACCCAAAACAATTACTGGTACAATTTTGAATGTTCATATCTGGAAATAGCATATGCCAGCACCACTAGAGGTCAAAGCCTCAGGTTAAAGATGCCATAGCTCAGAAAATTGTCAGGGCAAGCTTTTTTGGTGTGAGAGTTGTGAACTTTTGTAATAATCAGCCAGTGTTGTGATGGCACTGAGGGTGAGCTCATTCCAGACCAGACTTGACCAACACTGGAGCAGGTTCAGACACATGCTGGGGTCAGTGGATGCCCAGTACCATACTTTCAACTGTGCATAGCAGAGATGATATCAGCGGCTAATAGGCCAATCATTGGCAAAGGGGATAAAACATAAGTAAAGCAAAGCTAAGAAGGTACGATTGCTTACATTTCCACAAACTAATCAAGAAAGACTTACCCAAACACTAGGTGATGAGCAATTTCCGTGGCCTGCCAGAACTCATCGGCTACAAACCAAGTCTGTACAAGCACAACACTTAGTAATCTCACAATGATGAACAACCACAGTGGAGTGTCTGTCATATTTCAAGCTGAAACAGAAAATTATAGTAATTTTCAAAAGTTGTTTAAGTGTTATGCCTGATATTTACAAAAATATGTAAATTTTAACTAAACATTAAGTCAGGGGTTCCCAAGCTTTTTCTAGCACGACCCCATCCAGTGTTGTCAACTATCCAGTGCGACCCCAAATCATATCACTGGCAGACCCAAAGGACCCCAGCGACCCCATGACCTCTTTGCGACCCTACCTAATGAGCCTTCCGACCCCAGGTTTGGGAACCCCCGCATTAAGTAAAAGTATTTAGGACATATTAATATTTGACCATTTTGAAAGATGAATTGATCAATATTATTTGACCACTGTAAAAATAAAGTCTTTTGGGTTTTTGTGTTGCCCTCAGAGATCTATTGTATGTACCGTACGATGCTGTGACTTTGAACAGTGTTTGAGGTTCTTTTTAAGCTGCAGTTAAGTTTCATGGTTAAAAGCATATGTTAAGTACACAATTGATGGGCTATCCGTACATGCCAACAGAAATTCAGCAAACAATATTCTTTCTTTGCGAAGAGAAGATTTATAGGTGTCTGAAGTCATCCTAGAGATGGGGGTGACTCTGAAAATGAAGATGTCTTCAAGTAAATACTAACCTAATAAAAATATGCTTTATATCTTTTTTCAAATTTTTTTATAAAAAAAAAAAAAAAACAGGGGGTTCCCTCATCATAAGTGGTTAATAGGAACCAGAAAAAACCCACTGATAATGAAACCAGTTATAAAGGGAAATTAATTCCCATAAGAATTATTAGGAATAGGGTCTAATCATCCCATTGTTAGTGACACTCATAAATTTTAATTTGGTATCTTTTAACAGTTACTGTATACTATATATACCTGTATATATATTGGTGGATTTCAGCCTTGGAATCCTCTTAACTGCAGGGACGTTTTACGTGTAGGTCCACAATTATTGGACCACTTAAGTGAGAAACCACTTATAATGAAGTCGGAAATGTATGTAAGTTGGACCACACCCTATGTGCACTATATCATTGCCTAAGTCCTTATATACAGTATATATATATATATATATATATATATATATATATATATATATATATATATATATATATATATATATATATATATATATATATATACACACACACACAGGTAGTGCCCGACTTACGACCGACTCGACTTACGTCCATCCACATAATCACAATCAATCTCAAGTTGTTCCCCGGTAATGGACAACTAACAGATCAGAGAAGAGCAGAACTCACTCACGGTAAAATAGCGTTAGTAGAAACTTTGCCAGTCATGGCAAAATATATACCGCCAATATCATAATATGTACTTTGTTTAATATGGTGGGGGATGAAGCCCCTGGTTAGGAAGTTAGGTAAGGTTATGTAGGTTTCTTTGGTTGATTAGGCCAGGTTCTATTAGAGTCTAGTAAATGTAGCCTCTTTTAAAATACTTACCAAAGTGATACGAGCACCAGTCAAAAAATTAACAAAATCTAATAAACTTTTCCGATGATAGCAGTGTTCTCATATTTTACCAAATTGTATTCTTTACATAAATCACTCAACGTGCACATTTAGGCATAAAGCTTTACTTAGAACTGTACTTAGCCCATGTATATGGTATATAAACATACACGAGCTTTAATCAACTGTCTTAAGGGACTTCATCAATAACCAAAACGATAATTTTACCCTTCATTACAAGACGTTCAAGTTACATCTTAAATATAATACAACATTAAAAGGTAAATATTTTGAAACGCATAAACACAAACTTAGGTAATGTCACACTCTAAAGGCAACAGTTCCTTCACAAGTAATTAAGAGAAAAGTCCAACAAACACACACACCCGAATTTGTTATTGTCGTTTATTACTATATACGGGTTATGCAGATATACTTTCTTATATTTGTAACTATTTCAAATATAACTTTTTCATGATGGAAGAACACGAATGAATTATACCATATATAGTTTGATGTTAATACTGAGCACAAAATTTGTTACTCCATTGCAAAGGTTGACGGCTCTCGAGTGTTAATCCATGCCTAAGTTTTATTAATTGTATAACCTAATTTTGTATTTCCACTTGGCTGTCAATAAGAAATGGGCATGGGTTTGTATGCTTCTAAGACAATAATTATATTATGATTTCAATCCAAGAACGATGAGCCACACGAGAAAAAGATCGAGACTTGAATCATTGTTCAGTAATATTCAATATCTAATTTTGAAATATTAAAGTTAATTAAAAAAATAAAATATATAAGAAACAAAGCCTAAGTGATCAATGCAGATAATCTAAATGTCAAATAAAGTTATTTTCAAGCTACATCATACATGTCTCAGTATCATTCATTGGGTGGGTGAGGTATGAATTAATTATTAAATTTAGCAATTTAGTACAGTATATGAGTTGGCTCCGTGTGATTCAATTGAGTTGGAATGTGAGGTATTATTCAGTTGGTATATGAATTACTGCATGTACGCGCCTTAGTTCAGCGAATGAACTTTGGTTCAATGAGAATTTGTTCTCTTTACATTTATTTCTTTTATTGTGTAATGTCTGTGACATGTTCAGTCAGCATATGAAATATGGTTTACTGACCAATTGGGCGAGGTATGATTTAATCATGCGAGAGGGAGATGTTTCAGTTAGCATCATAATTCATTTCATTACCTGTTGTTTAGTTTAGCTGACGTAAAGACCGCGATACATAGTTCAAAGACAGTTGAATGAGCAAGTTATGGTTCATCCAGCTTGAGAATTCCTTCCCCATTGTTCACTTAAAATGGGAATGAGCAAGATATAGGCCATTATAGGGACTATAAGCTATCAAGAACTATTGGACCTCGTTCGGGTGGCCATTAGGTAAATAATGTAATTCAGGGATCGGGATTGACAAAACAACGTGTATATTTGTTCCCGTTGTTCAGTTCATTAAGTAAAGGAATGGGATATGGTTAAGTTAACAGGGGAATTTATTTGCCTTATGATAGTGAGTTTTATGTTACTCTCTGACCCTGCAGGTGTTGGCCGTACCGTGAGGCGGAGGTAACCGGCGGTGTGTGTTGTGATCATCAGCTGGACCACCGCCACCGGGACTACCCAGACACCCGCTCGTTACTTTCCCATCATGACCTCAGAGAACAACGAGAATGGCAACGGCAATACCCTCAAATACTTTTACTGGTACACCTCTTTTTACTCTCAGAGGGTGAGTTTCGAAGTATTAGGCCCTAGATGCTACAGGTGGTAAAGTGATGAGGATTAACGATGTTAACAGGCTGTTACGTTAACATCAGCTAGTGTATTACAGTAATACTACTTTTTAAGTTTTCATGCTACAATTTGCTTAGTTTATGAAGCCACTTTTCAGGGATATTATTATAGGTTTTACTCACAGACAGGGTAGTAAGTTAGGTTTGGTCACTTGTATCTCATGTAACATTACTGTACTGTAATTTTGGTATTAGTTCTGGCCATTTGGGAATCTTAGGAGTTTAACCCCCACCAGAAAAGGGGGGTCTAGGGGGCGAAGCCCTCACCCCTCGGTTAGTTCCTGGATTCTGTAGCTTAGGTTATGCTAAGAACATAAGAATGGATGAAACTGCAGCTGGCATATTGGCCCACACTGGGCAGTCCCGTTTACACCCAACCCTTATCGCTCATATATCCATCCAACCTGTGTTTGAAGCTCTAGACAAATCTAAATTTTTCTAATTTAAAACCATTGCTACAAGTTCACTCCTGGTTGGGTAGTTTGAGAACCTTTATTATATCACCTTTGCTTAGCCTTGAATTCCATTTATACACCTCGATCATATCGTCCCTCACTCTACGTCTCTCGAGGGAGTGCAAATTAAGATATTTTATCCTGTCAGTACTCAAGGTTCCTAATGCCCGGGATTAGTCTTGTCATTCTCCTTTGAATTCTTTCGGGGGATTCTGTATCCATTCTGTAGTATTGTGAGCAGAACTGAACTGTTTAATCAAAGTGAGGTCTCGCAAGGGCAAGATATAGTTTTAGGATAACCTCTCTAGTCTTGTAACTAACACTCCTTTGTAAGGTAGTAGACAGCTACCAAACAGGGAGGTACTACCGCCTGGGAAGATATTGGAAGCATAATGTGTTGTCTATTGGTAGATCCTGCTGCCATATGGCATCACAAAAATTGTGACCAAGTCCCAGGTTGCTGATATGTCTTTCTGCCTCATTTACACACAATTGTAGGGTCTCAATTGTTTCTCGTAGTATTGACAACACAACATAAAACATATGTTGTTTCTCATTTTTTATCTTTTTTCCATTTTTGTATTTCTTTATGGTTTATTATTATTATTATTATTATTATTATTATTATTATTATTATTATTATTATTATTATTATTATTATTATTATTATTATTATTATTTTATTATTTTGTTTTCAATTTGTTATTTTTTAATATAAATTTTATTTACTAGGGCAGAAGCCCTAGGTCAAAGTCCTTCTGGACAAAACTCCGTCAGTTAAATTGCATAGTGCATCTGAATTTGTACTTCCTCGAAAGACGTGGAGTGAGGGATGATATAATCGAGGTGTATAAATGGAAGTCAGGGTTAAACAAAGGTGATATAGCAAAGGTACTTAAACTATCTAACCAGGAGCAAACTCATATGCAATGGATTTAAATTAGACAAATTTAAATTTAGGCATGAGATAGGTAAACAGTGGTTAAAGTTTTAGCCTCACTTAACTCATTACTGGGACGTGATCTGACCCACAATCTATTTGATTCCTGACTGTGTTATTTACATTGTCCTGGGGTGAGATCCATATATAGCGATGCCTAGGGTGTTGTTCAAAAGCATGTACAGTGCTGTATTTGCAATTATCATTTTTTTCCACACAAAAGTCAATTAATAATTATCTTTTCTCATTACAATTATCCAGCCTATGTGGTCCTACTTTTGGTACTTCTTTTCCTTCCCAACTTTTGTTTTAAAATCGTCCATTATAATCAAACATTCAGTAAACTTCATGGTATTTTTGCTAAAATCTTTCTTAGACTTCACGTAACACTGCGCTGATAATCAGCGTGAGTACACACAGTTGTAATTTGGAAGCAAAACGTAGGATGTGGCTTCTGCCACTAGGATAAATTTGCAAAACCATTTCATCAATAAGTATGTTTGATTTTAGTAGGAATGAACCACTGAGCAATACATATTCAGGTGTGGCAGTAGTGCACTCGGTGATTCATTTCTTCTAAAATTATATACAGTACAGTACTGTATTAGCACTGTACTGTATACTGTACAGCCTTTCAAAAGCTGTAATATTTCTAAGGCACAGTTTCTTTAAGGGATAACTTTTTGGGTTTTGGTTAAGGGAATGAATCGAGACTTTAGTTACAGCTAAATGAGGTTTTGTGGCTTTTGTAGCTTCATGTGGGTAACACTTCATCCTACTCCTCTTATCACCTGTAAATTATGATGCAAAATATTATAACTAGGAATTATTGCAATAATACAGTTAATATTAACCATCCTGTTTGGTACCTTATCTCATTTGCAGGCTCTGATGGCTCTATATGAGAAGCGTGTGCCTTTCAAAACACAAATTGTGTCATTGCTAGCAGAGGAACAATATGAACCTTGGTTTTTGAAACTTAATCCATGTGCAGAAGTACCAGTACTGACAGATGGGGTCAAGGTTATCCCTGACTCAACCCGTATCATAGAATACTTGGAAGACAACTTTTCTAATGGTGAGTGAAGGTGATCTTGACAATGTTAGTTATTATCTTGGTTCCATTAAATGTAATTCAACTTGACTGTGACACTAGTGGATACCTATAGTACTGTATATGAAAATAGATATCTGTTTTTGAAAACAGGAATTATTTAAAAGCAAATAATCCCATAATATTTGTGAGGATATGCCCATTATTATTTATTTGTATGTGTTTTGTATGTGTGTGTCTACACACACACATATATACATATACAATCAGAAACAAATGTATTAAAAATGTGACAGTCTACCTTCAAGTCTACTCCGTGCTTTGTTATTAATAAACCACGGAGTAGAACTTGAGGGTAGATTGTCACATTTTTAATAAATTTGTTTTTGATTATATGTGAGAGGATTTTCCCATTATTATTTATTTGTATGTGTTTCGTGTGTGTGTCTACACACACACACACATATATTCAGTATACAATACAGGTAAAAGAAATAATTGTCCTAAGGGCAAACACATAAAAGGAGTGTATATTTCTTTGTACATAAGTAAAAATGTTACCCCCTCCACTTACCCAGTCAGCAAAATTTATTTGCGGATCTGGCGTTTCGCAGCCATTTTGAGAACCTATACCCCGCTAATTTGAAGAGCATGCTGTATATAGCAGGAACACAAGAAAGATATGTGAAGAAAATTCTAAATTGCAGTTAATTACTGGAACATTATGGAAAGTTATGAAATTGTGGTACAGTTGGGTCGGGATATAACGTGAGATAGGGTCCAAGGATGTTCGCTATACAGGTACTCCCCGACTTACGACCTACTCGACTTACGTCCACCCGCACTTTCGACCTGCCTCAGTCGTACCAAAATTTGGTCAAATTACGTATTTTCGAGTCCCAAAGTCAGTACACAGACAAAATTTTCATCTGTAATTCACTTTAAAATGGCTGGCAAGCTTAAAAGTGAGTGTTTTATGGTGCTGAGAAGAAAAAGAGACCCCCCATTTTCGATTTTCTATATGTTATTAAAGCATTTCCGACACGACCATTTCAACTTACGACCTGGATGTCGGTCCCTAACCCCTTCGTAAGTCAGGGAGTACCTGTATACTAAATCGCGATATATTATTACATGTAATCAATGGGGAAAATAGGGTTAGGTTCTGGAGGCCAGTAAAAGTGACTAAACTTGACATAAAATGGCACAGTCTAAAGTTAGCAGAATATACTGTAAATTGCATTGCTGGAATCCTTGCAAGACAGCGAATAACTTGAAGATAGACATCATATATTTTGCACAAAAGATAAAATTTTTAGTCTTTTACAGTACATTTAAGTATTGTACAGCTTTTCAACCCATATTTTTGGGGCGACTTAAGGGATTTTTAGGAGTGTTTCTGACTTTATAGGGTTTTTGGCTTTATGTGAGGTCCCAGGAACATAACCCCACATAAGTTGTGAGGCTACTGTAAATAAATTTATCGCTATACAGTATATTGGAAAATTATGATAATTTTGGAAGCCGCAATATAAAAAAATCTTATATAAAGTCGCTATACTGTATATCCCGACTATATTGTACTGTAGTTAGGTGTGTTTTAGTTATTAGAATTTATGCTGCTTATAATAATAGTTTGGTGAAATAAGACTCTGGAACTGTCACTTTTGGAATTGAAAGAGTTGACATGATTTTGTAAGATGAAAAATTGTGAGGAGATATGAGTATACAGTATTGTACTAATGAAAACAGATGGCATTTTATTTACTGTGGAATAAGTTCATGATTACAAAAGCTGTGTACAGTTGCTCAAAAATGAATCTGAAAAATATTGTTCATGACAATATGACACATCGGACATATGTTTTGGGGAAATAGTAGAGGACCAGGTGTAAAGGTGGTAGACCTGCATGCCACAATGGTCGCCATGTAATATATAAGACATTTCTTGCCGTTTGTCATTAACGTGTTTCATGTGAATATAATTAATATGGTTATATTAGCAGGGAATGACAGTCTAAAAAGACATTATCCATGTTAGAAACATACAGTAAACAATATTTGCATGGTAATGCTTAAATGTTCCAACAACAATGTTGACTGTATCCATACGTAGCATTTGGTATGCATACATGTATTAGATATTAGGGTATGTAATGGCATCTCACATTTATTGAATTGATATTTGGTGTAACCACCACCTGCGTCCAGAACACTACTCAAGCGTCGAGGCATGGATACCACCAACTCTGATGTCACCTGTTGTCCCTCCGGGCTACCCAGGTGTTCCCATGCCTGCAAGGCTCTACTGATGACCATAGCACGACCATGGTGGCAGTTGTGTGGGAAGTCTTTATTCATGGCAGCCCAGACATGTTTAATAGGGTTCAGGTCAGAGGATTTGGGTGGGTGTGGCAACACTGATTTCTGGGTGTTGCTCAAATCACACCTTAGCAGCCCGACAGGGTGTGGATGGGGCTGTTGTCATGGAGGAAGTAAAAAGGCTATGTATGGTGATAATACTGCTTCCATACAGGTACGACTACAAAGCATTGTTTACAGTTTACATGTCGATGTATACTTGTAATTACTGTATAAAGATAAACTACCCTGATTATAAGCAGTTGCAGCACCTACCTCGCTTTTCAGATACTTTTTCGAGTGACTGTACATAAGGACACGATGGATGAAGTTTAAAGGACAAGTAGTATGTCATTTGTACTGTGTACAGTGTGAAGTGGAGAGCAGGATGATTGAATGTACAGTACTGTTCATATCATTAGTCAGGAAATGTGAATGACTGTAGTATACCTGTAATATGATAATGACTTTAGTGCTAAGAATACATTTTGATTTTAAGTAAAAAAAATTATGTTGAATACATGTAGGACATGTTGGGTAATGGTATTTTACTTTGTTATTAATTATAAAAAAACTACATATACAGTGAACCCTCAAAGATCTGAAATAAAATGGGGACCACCTGTCCAGAAAAGCCAATTGTCCGTATCTTCCGGCAAATGTACTAAATGTATAAAACCGATAAATAATGATATAAAAACACCGAAAATACAGCACATATTATCCTGACTACTGAGGTTAGTTATACAGACTTTTTCCTGTGAAAAAAACCCAGAATTTTAAGCAACATATTACTGTACTCATTTGTACTCAAATGTATTACACTGAAGGACTAACAAAAATTATTTTTTGCAAAATATGCAATGTCTATATTCAAATTATTCGTTGCCTTGGAAGGATTCCAGCAGTGCAAGTTGTATTCTGCTAATTTTAGTCTGTGACATTTTATAAGATAAAAACTTTAAGCCTAAAACTACCTTCACCCTGTTTTGGGAATGCTTCTTAGGGAGACTTCTTAGCCCAGAACCCTCAAATTTTTTGTCCGAATCTTCCTAAATCCAGATTTACCAGTTCCGGATCTTCAAGGGTTTACTGTACAGGTATATTAATAATTGGGGAGGTATAATTTTGATATGTTTTCTTTAATAGGTCAGTTTGGACAGCTAACTCCGAAGGAGAAAGGCAGTGAGGAAAGCAAAAACATTGAGAAATTTCGAGACCTACTTGAACCACTACCTGTACCACCCCTTACTTTTGGAATTGCTGCTCATCCTGAATTAACGGATAACCCAAAACCACCGTTCACACCATTTATACTCAAACGAATGAGGGGTATGTTGGAGAATATACTACTTGTACAGTACTTGTAAATTATAGATTCTTAGTGTGTGTATTGAGTTGCGTGGCATGTGTGTTGTGTTGTGTGGCATGTGTGTTGTGTGATGTGTTGTGTGATTTGTATGTGTTGTGTGATGTGTATGTGTTGTGTGATGTGTATGTGTTGTGTGTGTTGAGTTATGTGTTGTGTTTGTTTTATGTGTGTGTGTGTTGTATTTGTGAAGTGTAATTGTGTTTATGTAAGTGTTGTGCTTGTGTGTGTTGTGTGAGAGAGAATATACAGTACTGTATATACTGTGGTATACATTGCTCAACATCTAGTTTAGCAAGTTTTCATGTAGGTATCTTTCATATCTTTATTTGTTTAATACAAATCTCCAATGTTCCACCAACAGAAATAACTAAGAATCGCCCTGCTATAATTAGAGAACATGCAGAGAAATCAGCAGAGTTTCGGGAAGTTCTCATGAAAAAAGCTGCAGAGGCAGAACAGGGAGCACTTAGCATCAACAAAACCAGAGAAGAAATGGATGCAGTCTTGCAAGAGTTTGATGCAGCATTACAGAAAGTGGAAGAGGAACTGTCATCTCATACAGGAGGTATGGCTGATACAGTAAAATGTTTAGTAGGTAGTAGGCAGCTACCAAACAGGGAGGTACTACCGCCTGGGAAGATATTGGAAGCATAATGTATTGTCTAATGGTAGACCCTGCTGCCATATGGCATCACGAAAAGTGTGACCAAGTCCCAGGTTGCTGATTTGACCTTCTGCCTCATTTACACACAATTGCAGGGTCTCAATTGTTTCTCTTACTTTTACAACACAACATACATATCCTGTATTGTTTCTCACTCTTGATTTTTTTTCATTTCTGTATTTCTTTATGGTTCTTTATTATTATTATTATTATTATTATTATTATTATTATTATTATTATTATTATTATTATTATTATTATTATCATCATTTCATTTTCGCCCCCTAGGCACCGATGTGGGTCAGTGACCTGTGCCCAGGTGGGCTAATTCCCGTAAAAAAAAAAATCCGAAATCTTTGGGGCCAGAGGCATTTCGGATTTTGGAATTTTTCGGTTTTCAGATTTTTTTTTTTTTTGTGTATTAGCCCACCCGGGCACAAGTCACTGACCCACATTGGGGCCTGGGAGGCGAAAATATAATAATAATAATAATAATAATAATAATACAGTTAACCCTCACTTTACGCGGTTAATGTAACCCGGAGGGTACCGCGGAAAGCGAGAAACGCGTAAAGTGAATAACATAACATATGGGATTAATTGAAATGGAGTCCAGGCCGATCCCCAAACTCCACTTTTTGACGACACATAACTATGTTGTAGTAAAAATAACATCTTAATTTTATGATGGTACATGCACACAATTAATACTTAAGAGAAATAGAGAAATACAGTCGCCAAGTTAATGTCCATTCAAATAATGGACACGACTCCCTCCCCCTCTTCTCACACTACACTGCTGGCTCTTCCCTTTGAGAAATTTTGGGGGGAAAACCAGGTATAGTAATAAATAATACCTCAAACTAAAGTTAGGATAATATAATTGACATTGCTGGATTCCTTGTAAGACCAGGAATATTTTGAATATAAATGTCATATATTTTTCACAAAAGATAACATATTTACTCAGATTAAACATTACATCTAAAATTTGTATGTCTAATGCAAAATATATGATGTTTATATTCAAAATGATCACCAAATTGTAAGAATTCCAGCAATGTAAATTATATTCTGACCGGGTAATTTGTATGAATTTTATGAGCTAAAAAAAATATTCTTCACACCGTAACAGATGGTCGGTCGGTCCCTCCCTCCCCCCCACCTCCCACCAACCCTCCCTACCAGATGTGTAGGAAAACCAGAATATTTACCTTTCTAGTAATAAATAATACCTCAAACTAAGTTAGGATAATATAATTGACATTGCTGGATTCCTTGTAAGACCAGGAATATTTTGAATACAAATGTCATATATTTTGCACAAAAAATAACATATTTACTCAGAGTAAACATTATATCTAAGATTTGTATGTCTAATGCAAAATCTATGATGTTAATATTCAAAATGATCATCATATTGTAAGAATTCCAGCAATGTAAATTATATTCTGGCCGGGTAATTTGTATGAATTTTATGAGTTAAAACAGGCAGGCAGGCGGGTGGTGGGTGGGGCGAATCTAAAAATAGCGTCTCGAGCCGGACACTCTGCGCGTATACGTGGAAAAAACCCGTGTTATGAAATTGCCTGATGGTAAGCAATCAAGATACGTGATATCGCGCTATGAAACCCTGTATATATATATATATATATATATATATATATATATATATATATATATATATATATATATATATATATATATATATATATATATATATATATATATATATATATATATATATATATATATATATATATATATATATATATATATATATATATATATATATATATATATATATATATATATATATATAATTTTTTCATAACAGTTAAAAGTTGTTATTTTTTAAGACAAATGGCAGTCATCAAAATGTCAATGGAGTGAGTTCTGTTTTACCTGTATCTTCATTCTGCACCAATTGTTTCTGGTTGGGCAGTCCAGAACACGGTTCTTGGCGTTTTCGTAATTCACATCTTCAGGGTGAGTACAGTCTCTGTGAATTACATGAAAGCGCTAGGAACTTTGTGTTTTCTGGTTTTCTTGTAGTATCAGCATATACTTGGATCGCACGCACCTACAGTGATTTATTTGCATTTATGTATGTATGTATGTATGTATGTATGTATGTATAAGTGATATCCCCATTAGCCTGAACAATTGGTGCAGAGCTCTTCTGGGGATGAGAGATTACCAGGTAACAAGACGACTCATATGCGGACAGCGAAACGTCGACGGACAAGGAATCAACAGTTTTTGAATCAATAAATCTCATAAGAATATAACTTTATACCCTAGGGACAAGGGAAAACACACATACTGTAGTAAAGTTGAATCATTACAAAATGTGTCTTTCCCCAAGTGAATTAACTCAACATAATCTCATTGTGCCTATAGGCCCAAGTGAATTCCCTAACCGGTATGCTTATAGCGGAAAGTAGATTACTGTAAAGGAAAGAGGGGGCAACAAAACATTACTTTTTTTATCTTGGGAAAATTATTTTGAGCTTCTTGTTCTTTATGTTTCAGATAAATCTGAATGGTGGCTGTGTGGAGAACTTTTCAGCATTGCTGATATAGATCTAGCCATTCTTCTAAATCGAATTAATCAGTTAGGCTGTGAGCAGAGATTTTGGGCAGGAGGAAAACGTCCATTTTTGGAAGCTTACTGGAATAAGATGCAGAAAAGAGATTCGTTTAAGGTAAGTGAGAGATATCCTATTTTATTACTTGTATCATTAGTTTTTTATAAGAATTTAAAGCTGACTATTATAATCTTGTTTTTTTATGTCATCATTGGTAAACTGAATCACATCACATAGATGGCATTCCATGTTTATTTTTGCCATGTACATTAAATTGATATATTATATTGCAGAGAGCTACATACTTCTCAGCAAATGCTATGCGTTTCTCTAAACTCCGAGGAACCCTGAAACAAAGTAAAACCTTTCTAGCATCATTAACAGCAGCAATGGGCATTGCTCTTTTATCTTACATAGTATATCGACGGGTTTTGAAGTCATAGGAGAGAATTTTCAGCAATTTTTATTACATTAGCATCAATGTTTAGGCAAACAAAATTTGAAGTACTGTATTTAATTGTAGCTACCTAGATTTATCAGGTTTAATGATTTGGCTCATCTTCAGTAGGACACACTGTTTAGGAAAAATGCAAATCTTGATTCATCCAAGACTTAAATAAGTGATTGATGTAGGATCAAGATGTGAGGGATTCTCTTGATGAATGTGGTCATGTAAGAGTCATGTAAGAGTTAATTACCAGACAGTGTTTGAACTCGGACCAATTTTCATAGCTTAAATAAAGAACGTATACAGTACAGTCTATCATACAATGGTAATTGCAAGTCCTTATTTTCAACAGATAATCTTTATAGGCAATGTTATATATTACGGGGAGGATGGATCGTCCATATACAGTATAATCCATCTTCACTTGGTTACCGGTATGTACATTTTAATTGAACTCAGATTCTATTAACAATTGCAAAAGTTCCATTTACCCTTAGTGATATATTCCAGTAGACAAAATTTCTAATTTCTAATTTATTTTCTTCAGATCACTATATCTTACTGTTGTGAGGTTATATTTAAATTTGTTCATTAATTGGAGAGGTTGATAATAATTTGACATTCACATCTTTGACTAATTTCCTGTTATCTTAAGATACATGAACAGTGCTTAGGATTGCAACAGACTTTTTGAGATTATATAGAATAGGTATTTGTGTTAATTAGATATGGAAGAAAAAGGTTGTGAGAGAGAATATTCTGCTACCTCAATGCTGACTGAAGTTCTGTGTGAACTTTATTCAACCTTATTATTACATAGCCGCTCCTTTGTCATTAATCAAGTTCAGTGCTCTTTATGTAACATAATAATACAAACAAATACACTAAGTAAAGTGAAAGTGTGTTTGCTCTTGGTTCTGAGAAAGAGCCTTGATGATTGAAAAAGTGCAATTCTTGTACAATAGAACTATGAAAATATGTATGTTATATTTTACCACATTTAAGTTTTTGTTAAGGTTACTGTATTTAGTTAATGCATCATAGTAATGTTTATGAAGTTTATATTAATCTGCATGCAACTGAATGAAGCTACAAATTGAATTAAGATATGAAAAAGGGAAGTCAGGATTTAAAATATGACTCACTTAACATAGCATGGAGAGATTGAAATTGGTTAACTTTTCAAGTAATACTCTCATTAAAATTGACATGAAAGCTGAGACATTAGAAATACCTTTTAATAGTAGTCAAATGAGCTGAGCCATAAGGAAAATGAATAAGAAAAAAAAGATTTAGCCAAGTGGGACAAGGTATGTAGGAAGTAGAGGTACATCAAATTGTATGGTGGTGAAGCATTTGTTTGTAATACAGATTGCAGTTTAATTGGTAGAGTACAGCACAAGAATTTGGTGCTGTTTTTCTGAAATTTGGTTGTCACACAAAGAGTAATAGTTGGAACAATAGACCATACTTATATATAGAGGTTATCTAACAGTATACTGTACACAGAGAAGAATGGGATATAAAGGAAAATTGAAAAGACTGAGTAAGATTAGTTTACTGATGGAGGAATCTGAGAATGCACAGACTGAGGTATACAATAATGAGAATGTTCTGCTTGGTCTCTTGGCTGTAAAAGTTAGGTTAGGAAATTTTGGAAAGCTTTTGGGTTGCAGATAGGTTGAAGGGAAGGATAACATTAATGAATTTGGTTATCACATTTTAAACAGTCACAATATTTGTTACAGTCTTTGCGCCACATAAGCTTTGGTTATTTTTCATAGTACAGGTTGTACCTCTCTAGTCCGGCAACCTCGGGACCTGACCGGTGCCGGACCATGGAAATTCACCCTTTTCCTGGATAGTGACTTGTGCTTATGCTTGGAAGCACTAGCACCACTTTCTCTGCATCATGGTCTCTTTGAAGACATATTGAAGGGTTAAATGTCATATAGTAGCTTCTCAAATTTCGTGAGTTTTTAATTCTTGACGTATTTTATTGGAACACAAAAAAAAAAATAAAAATTTTGACGGCGGAAACTTGAATTTCGACGGGTTTGAACGGCCCGCCAATGTGCAGACGACGTGCATAATCGCGTAAACAGCGTCATTTCTCTTATGTACAAAAGATTCATTATTGTTTATTACTGAATGTCTTTTTTATTGAATTATTGTTTATGTGTGCAAAATGAGCAATACAATTCATTAATAATACGTAGAATATTAAAACACACTAAGAAATGACACAGCATTGTTTTCGTTGATTACAAAACCAGTGACTGACTGGTTCTACATATAAAACTGAAGAAAATAAGACCTTGTTTGTAGCTGTAGTAAAATTAATATGGTTGTTTTAAGGAATGTTATTTAATGTTAATAAATGGAACAATAATAGTAGCTAATGATAATGGTAAAGAAAAAAGAGAGATCGCGTATGTAAGTGCGCACACGTGAAAACATATCGTCATTACTTTACATAAGAATATGAAAGCAACACTTATTTACTGTTCATATATATTTTAATTAATGATTCTGAATTTGTTTTTATTGAATTAATGTTTGTGTGTGCAAAATTAACAATACAATTTATTAATAATACGTGGAATATTAGAGGAGACGAGACGGCTGCCGGCATTGTTTATGTTAAAGCTTACGAAACCAGTGCTGATTGGTTCTACATATAAAACTGAAGAAAATAAGACCCTGAGTTTAGCTGTAGTAAAATTAATGTAAAAAAATGAATATGGTTGCTTGAAGTACCTGTAATGTTATTTAATGTTAATAAATGGAACAATATAAGTAGCTAACCATTAATGGTAAAAAAAAAAGTGAGACTGCTCGTATGTAAGTGCGCACATGTGAAAATATATCGTCATTACTCTACATAAGAATATGAAAGCAACACTTATTTACTGCTCATATATATTGAAGGGTTAAATGTTGTACTCTGTATAGACAAGCAGAGAGAGAGAGCAGCCGAACTGCCGGATGTAAACAAACCTTAATTTCCCGCGGCTTTGTTTTTTTTTTTTAGGGGATTAGCCCACCCGGGCATAGGTCACTGACCCACATTGGGGCCTGAGGGGCAAAAATTTAATACTCCTGTAATAATAATAATAATTCAGATAAGTAAAAAAAAAAAAAAAAAGCTGCCTATCTACCTATTGGACAAAATAAAATCGTTCCGGACCACAGAATGCCGGACTAGAGAGGTACAACCTGTACAGTAGTTATTCTACAAAGGGTTGCATTATAAAACTAATATTTTTTTCTTCATTTGCTTGCATCTTTATTCATACGTACTTGCCCCTTTACATAATAAGATGTAACCCAGATTTTTTTGTCCATTTACTGTATTTTTTTTTAATATAGGGTTAGCAACTGCCTATTTCACTGAAGCGAATATACAGTATATGCAGAATTATTTGTCTGGAAGATTGGCCAAGGGAGTCACTTGTCATAAACTGGCATTAATTTTTTATTATGTTTATCGCTAACGTGTACACATTCAAATGCCCTGGGATATTGCCTTTGAACATACAAAAAGTTGAAGGGTTAAACATTTTGATCCTTGCCATTAGAATTAAAATATCTGAGAATTGTCACTGGAGTTTCAGCTGCCTAAAAGATTGGCAGTTCACATGTGTTGAGGTGTGTTTTGGGGGAATTCAAATGCTTTGAACATTATCATTTTGGGTTCAGAACCTCAAGGTTTGTCATTAGGGGCTCTGAAGTTTGAGCTATGCTTCAGAATTCTTATTTATTTTATTTTGGGTTAACATTTTTAGCTTTTCTGATGGAGCTTCAGATGGTTCGAGTTTTTCATTTGTGGTTCATCTGTTTTGAATTTTGCTATTGGGGTTGATATGTCAATTGTGGACATGGTTGATAACCAAAGTGTTTGGACAAGGTTTTACATGGCTCTTCATGGTATAACTGTCATAATCTCTGTCCTGATGCTCATGTTTATGTTGTATTACAGTCTGTCCATATGGCTATTGTGTTTCTTATACTGTATATGTTTGTTTTTTTGTTACAGATGGTTATGTTCTTTGTTGAATAAAACTTAGAAATGTGAATCTGGATTTACTTCAATTTATTCAAAGGGACATAACCATTTGATAACTGACGATGACACTGTCATTGATGAGCTTGAATGACACTGTCCCATGATAAGATTGAATGTCATTGTCCCTCGATGAACTGTACAACGCATTTACTTGCGAATGTTAGCCAGGTCTTCTTGTTGACAACCCCCAAGACCATACACACACAACACATTGCTGGTTCTGGGTGTTAGTGAGGCAGGTGACGGCTGACCTGACACTGAGAAGTCGTTGCTTGAAACTTCCTCAGTTATCACAAAGCTCGTCGTTGGCCTTATCAGAAAGTTGGAATTGTTACTGGGTTCTCAGATGTACCTCTTTTCTCGAATACAGTAGTACAAAACATACCAGTAGCATTTCGTAACGAAGACAAATCACATGACAGGAAGATTTTTTTAATGGCTGCAGTCTTTCAGAATCCAGTTTGCTCTCACCTTTAGAGATAGTATAACCAAGGAAGTCCACAGGCATTACAGAAAATATACTTTTATCGGGTTCAACGTCAAGTTAAACTTTTTCGCAGTTTCAGTAAACGTCTTAGGTTAGCATCGTTCCTCTTTGGTTTTACCACAGACAGTAATATTATCAAGAGAGTTATCAGCAAAAAACTTGTCTATTATTTGCTGGAAATAAATTACTCCATTGGTGATGCCAAATGGAATTCGATGAAATTGGTAAATTTGTTGGCAAGCCTCAAACGCAGTGTACGGTTAGTCTTCATTGCATATTGGAACTTGATGATAGGCAGACTTTCAGTCTGTGGTGCTGAAGAATTGATATTCAGCCGCCCTATTTGCAAGTTCATCAATCTCTGGAAGTGGGTATGCATTTAGCAGTGTGAAATGACTGCTTGATTTAAAAGTGTTGATTCAATTGTACAAGGAATAACTGTACCAAGTTTAGGTTAGTAGAGCATGTATCAGTAGATAAAGTGTTTTGGAAATTTAACAGCATGAAAGTCCAATTACAGGTATTTGGAGCCTCTGAGATTTTTCACATTTGAAAATGTCTTAGTTTTTCATTGGAAAAATTAACAAATAACTTAAGATTGAGCAGCACTCAGATATAGAACATGAGAAGGGTTTTATTTTCTTTGGGAACAATTCACTCTAGTGTGTACAGGATTTGGTACTAAAATCAACACATTACAGCAGCATTTTTGACAACTTGAATATATCTTCATCCAGAGTTAGGTTTGGTTAGGGGTGTTTAGTATGGAGAAACCTTAATATATCCTTGTACAGTATATGGTTTCAATTGCTGGCAGATTCCAATAAAGAAACATCATACAAATACTTATAGTATAATTTGACTTTCTACTTTCATTTAGTATTTCTGCTTTAGTTTTTCATATTTATACTTCTGTTTTGCTTATTTCTGGCATATTTCTGCCTCAGTTTTGTATACTTATGCTTCTTGTATATAATTTATTGAAATTTTTTAACTTTTCTTTTATGTGGGTTTTAAAATGTAGATGCCAGCCTGATTAAATCCATACACACTTTAGGTCTTTACTGTACTGTAACTTGGACCATTCATGGGAGGAAATATAGGAGTATATTTTTTATGCCAGAGAATCTTCCATTTTTTATATTACAATGCAGTATATGCTTGGTAGGTAGAGGTACAGTATAATGCAAAACAAATGACTTTGTGTGGATTACATAAGACATTGATTCCTTTGACTACTTTATGGTTAGTTAGTTTTCTAGGAAAAATAGAAGATAAGGAGTATGATGTGGGTCCCCATAATATGATAGCAATTTTTGATGTATGTTTATTGAATGCTACTGAATACCTGTACTGTATTTCCCCCAAAACGTGATGTAAATTGCAGTGTTGTTTTCCCTTAACAAACAGTGACCATTATACCAATGGCCCTCATTCTAAAATATCAGATCATCATAGTTTTTCCTCACTTTGAATATATGCCTGTTATCATGCTATCTGTTCTTGAACATAGTGTTGAGAAAGTTTATGTACTGCATGTAAAGCCTTGCAAACATTCTGATTATTGATTGTCTCTGTCTTCAGATGTCAAAGGTGGCTGTAGACCTTGATATCTCTGCCAAAATATTTTGGCAACTGATCAACTCCACACAATTGAACATTCAAAATTCCTATGTAACACTTCAGTTACTAGCGGGGAAGTTCTTGCTGGTTCTGCTTTCAATTCAGTCAAACACTTGCCTCTTCCAGGGATGAGAGATTACTGGGTAATGAGACGACCCTCAAACCCGAAAAAATCCCACATCCCCGGAATTTTTCTGAGTACCTGGAAAAAATTTTCGGGATTTTTAGGATATTCAAGAATTAAACATTATTTCATCATTGGAATTTGCAACCAGACCCAGGGAAAAAATTGGGGAGTTTTCAGAAGTTTTCTCGGAATTTTCCAGATGATGCGCCTGATTTTAAACCTCAGAATTTGCTCCCAGACCTGGAAAAACTTTTTGAGGAGAGATTTTCTCTGAATTTTCTAAAAAATGTGCCTGATTTTCAACCTTGGAAACTCGTTCATCCAGAATTGAGAGAAATTTTCTGGAAAAATTTTGAGCCAATTTCAATTTTGGGTATTGGAGAGTTCCAACTTTTGGAGATATTACTGTTATTATCATTACAGGTATTAGTTTTTTATTTTATTATTATTGTAACAACAGTAATTAGTTTATAAAATTAGTTAAATCTGCCCCATAATAACAGAATACAGTTTATGTATTGAGCCATTTTATTGATTAGAAATTTCTATTATAAGGCGATTGATTTTATTTAGATTTT